GCGGTGGGTGCGCATGGTGAGGCAGTGGCAGTGGGCGCAGGGAGTCTAAAACCTCTGAGGCAGGCCAGATAAATGGGCATGGCGGGCCGGAACTGGCCCGTGGGCCGCAATTTGAGGACCCATGGTTTAGGGCTTTGAATGTTAATGTGCTAGCACTTTGAATCAAGCCCAAACTTCAGCTAACAACCAGCGCAGCTGGAAAAGCTCTCCAGACCATTTTCAAAGGCCCCGTGTACAGCACATTGCAGTAACCCAAAGGAGAGGATAGCAGAGCATGGATAACTGTATCTAGGCTCTCTTTGTCCAGATAAGGTTGTTGTTGGTATATCAGCTTAAGCTGATACTGCTCTGTGCCACTAAGTCCAGTTGTGCCTCAAGTGACAGCTCTGGATCCAGGAGCACCCCCAAGCTACAAACCTTGTTTTTTAGGGGGAATACACCCCATCCAGAACAAGTTGAATATCACCCAAATGGACAGATGAACCACCACACTAACAGCACTTCCATCTTGTCTGGATTGAATCTCAGTTTGCTGACCCTCATCCAATCCATTACCATGCTCAGACACTGATTCAGAGTGGCCACTGCCTCAATTGAGTTTGATGAAAAAGAGAGGTAAAACTGAGTGTCATCCACATATTGATGATGACTTTTAAAATTCTTTGACAGTGTCAATAAACATATGGTCAAGTCTATCCTGGTTGACAATGTGTGCTTGGATTTCAAAAGGCTTTAGACAAAATCCCTCACCAAAGACACCTGAACAAATGTAGTAGTCATGGAATAAGAGGAGAGGTCCCATTATGGATCAGTAGCTGCTTAAAGAACAGGAAGCAGAGAATAGGAATAAATGGTAAATTCTTGAATGGAGAGATGATAACAGTGGGGTCCCAAAGAGATCTATATTGCAGCCAATGCTTTTCAACTTATAGGAGTGAACAATGCAGTGGCCAAGTTAGCTGATGACACCAAATTATTAAGTTGGTTAAAACCAGAAGTGTGAGGCGCTCCAAAGGGATTTCTCCATACTGGGAGTGTGAACATCTAAATATCAAAGCTGTTCGGTACAGTGACTCACACTGGACAAAAAAAAGAATCACAACTTCAAGTATAAGCTATTGGGATCTAAGCTGACAAGAAACAGAACTTGAGATTGTGATGGGCAACTTGAAAATATCAACCCAGTGTATGGCCACTGTAGAAAAGGCAAATTCCATAATTATGAAAGGAATAGGGGAAAAAACTGCAGATATTATACTTAAACAAATCTGTCCTTTAACCGCATGCAGAATACTTTGTAAGTTCTGGTCACTGCACCTATTGGATATTGTAGGATATTGTAGAGTTGGAAAAATGGTGGAAAGGGCATCTAAAATGATCAGACGGCGGGAGGAATGGTTACAACAGCTCACATTGTTTAGCTTAGAAAAAGCAACTAAGGGAAGACATAGAGGTGTACAGAATTATGAAGAGTGTAGAGTAATTGAATAGGACACTTTTTAAAATCTTCCTCATACTACTAGAAACTGGAGGCTGATTGATGAAAGGTGCAGGATAGATTAAAGGAAGTACTTTTTCATACAGTTTTGAACTGTGGAATTCACTTTCACAGGATGTAATGATGGTTACAACTTTGAGTCGCTTTAAAAGAGGACTGGACAAACTCATGGAGGAGAAGGGTATCACTTTCTTTTACCACTGTGCATTGGGAGTTTTGTGTGCCTAGTAGTGTTGGGATTCCTTACTTGTAATCAATTTCTATCCTTAAACAAACATATTTAGTTGTCTTAGCAGTATTTTCCCCACAAGTCTCTAGACAGGCCAATTCAGGAATTTTTTTGAGTAGCTTCACTAGCGTAGAAACTCAACAATGTACAAGGTATACCAGAGGTTCATGTACCGGTTATACCAACAAAGGCAGCTCTTAGCAATGTGATTAGGTTAGATGTTAGCAACTGTTAATTACAGCTTTCTTGTTCTTTCTTAGCTTAGCCAGTCTCCTAGGTGTATGAGTTGAGGTGTATGAGCCATACTAAAAAACAAAAAACAGTACATCTAATCTCCTTGGTAATACCTTGGATCTCTCATCCTTAATAATGTCATAATAATGGATTTTTGAGAAGCTTGCTAATTCTATCCAATAGACACAACCAACCAACAATACCTGGAGGGTGAGGAAATCCCTTCCTAATCTGCCTAGGTCCTTGAGGAAGTGGTGCAACTCATACCTTCCTCATAGCAAAATGTTCTAGGGCGGCTAAGGTACCCTGTAATTACTAATGTCTTTTCTTCCTTCTACCACACTGGATGTTGCTTCATTGTGACAGATGGTCTTTTGAGATAGAGAACTGAGCCTACAATGCATGACTAAATAATTAAGCCAGTTAAAAATGTTACAGATGATTTTAAGTGTCCCCAATTAATTAGATGCCACTTTAGATGGCTCATTCTGCACCTCTTCTAAATTGGTGTCTGCCATTGGCCTTCTTTTCCTCCCTTCACCTCCACCCACAGCCTTTGGTAATAAAACAGGTTGAATGAATTTTTAAATGCAGGAACTGTCTAAATTACGTTGCTCGTCCTCACCCTACATCTTAGGATCTGGCCCAGTAAGGGAGAGGTTAGGTTGTTTTCAATGATTTCTCAACGATAATAGACAGTGGTTCTGAGTGTTCTTCTACTAGCCCTTTTATGACTCTGGGATGGAGTTTGTTGGGGCCCTTAAGATTTGAACATGTTTAGCCCATCTAGATGTTCCTTGACCATTTGTCTGTCAAGCTTGGGCTGTCATCCTGCACTTTCAGCTTGTACTTTTGGTAGGTAGGTTGTAGGTCTTCTTGTGGGAGTTGAATACCTCTGCCTTTTCCTTGTCATTTGTTATCGGTTTGTCATCCACTTTGAGTAGTTGAACCTCCTTCTCTTTCATTTGCCTGTTGTTATGGACCTATCTTGTTGGCTTGTTGTTTTTAGCATCTCTCTCTAGTCTCAGTTCATTTCCTGCTTTAGCCTTCATAACATCCCTGCAATTCCTTGCTATCTGTTTATAATCTTCCTTTGCGGCCTAGCCTTCCTTTCATTACCTGTACATGTCCTTTTTTGCTTTCTAGGTTGTCTCTTAATATTTTGTGGAGCCACATGGGCTTGCTCTGCTGTCTTCTACACTTTTTTCTTGAGATTGTTTGCTTTAGGAACATTAGGCAGCCTTTATGTTCTTAAAGTTATACATAACTTGGTTTGTTCATAAAATTGTCATTCACTTTGAAAAGCAAACTTGGTAAATGTGTGATTATTGTCTGAATGTACTTTCATATACCCAGTATGATAATGTTATGAGTAAACCAAGTTATATATAACATTCTTAAGTTTCTTGCTTTAGGTCTGACTACTTCAGTAACTAGACCCTGAAACACCTAGAGGCTAGAAGAAACAGGAAGAAGTAGAGGGAGAAGAAGGCTGGTATACAGCAGCTTTTCCTCTTTGTAAGGAAGTTTAGGGAAATTCCAAAACCCGTTCCTGCATGTAAAATATTGCACACAGTTCACATTGCCACACCTGAAAAGGGGCATTATTGAGTTGGAAAAGGTACAGAGAAGGGCAAAGAAAATGATCAGCAGCTATAACTGGAATTGTTTAGCCTAGAAAAGGGGCAAGTAAGGGAGGACATGGTAGAGGTGTTTCAAATAATGCACGGTGTAGGGAAAGTGGAAGAGCTATTTTTCTCCTCCCATAACACTCAAATCCAGGGTCGTGTCATTAAGCTCCTTGGTGGAAAGTTTAGGACAGATAAAGGAAGTACCTCTTTGATAAATGTTTAAACTATGGAATTTGCTGCCATGGGAAGTTGTGATGGCTACCAATTTGAATGACTTTAAAGGGGGATTGGATAGATGCATGGAGGAGGAGGCTATCAGTAGCTACTATCCTTGCTGGTTGTGTGCTACCTCCTTTACTGGAGGTAGTATGCTTGCATACACCAGTTGCTGAGAGTTTGAGAGGGTGCTGATCTTTTACCTATCCTGCTTGAGGGATCTTGTGGGCAACTGGTTGCTGCTATGTATATGGAGTGATCTAGCATGACTTTTCTTATATTCTTAATCTTGCAGAGAATATTTAAAATACCCTATGGTATCAGTATTTTCAGACAGTTTCCATCTATCATCTCTGTATAAAAGTCTTATTACATAGATTTTAGCAATAATTTGGAAGGAATATAGGATGGATCATATATGAACACAATGTCTTAAATTCTAAAAGAACATAGCACAAAACAGTTCAATTATTTGTTTTTAGGAAACATAAATGGGGAGGGGACAGTTAGAGTCAGAGGGCTCTAATTATGGTAACTCCTAGCAATGGAACAGCATACTCTGGAATGGAACAGCAAAATCTGCTTCTACCAAATATCTTCAAAGCTGCTAGTTCCTTCTCTGCCACAGAGGAGGTCAAGAAGGATCTAATATCCAACTGGAATAAGGAAAGTTTGTTACGCTTTTTCTTGCTTGCCCTATTATCCTTCCCTGGCAACGTTCCAGTACTTCACTTTAGAGACTACATCCAATCAGTATAGTTTTCTTCTTTTTATGTGCTGCTTTTCTGAAAGAAATAATACCGTTCTTTAAAGCAGAGGATCTACAGCTGAGATTTCCAGGCAAGTAGTAGAGATGGAATGTGCAGTTCTTCCCTCAGATATTTTGGTGTTGCAAAGGTTGAATTTAGTCGGACTGTTATATATACGAGAATGATGCAGGCTCATCTAAGGAAATGAAGCTTCCTTTGTGTTATTTTAGTATAATGGCAAAGGCATTACTCTTAAGTTGATTACCAGAATTAATTTTTATATTCTTTTATAATGAGTAATCAGGATTATTAGATGAAGTAAAAGTAGGACTATCCTTTCTCAATGCAGCTTCATCCTTTCAGTTTAGGTTTATCTTCAGTCTACTATGTAATGCATTTGACTGGATATGTTTATACTAAATTTATTCTTGACTGTTTTCTAGGAGTTTGCAGCACTTACTAAAGAGCTTAATGTATGCCGAGAACAACTCCTTGAAAGGGAAGAAGAAATTGCAGAACTGAAAGCAGAAAGAAACAATACAAGGGTTAGTCCATGATCTGGTATCATTTGTTGGTACTGTATGTTTGGAATGGCTTTAGAAATGGAATTAGATGCAGTACTGATGCTCACATCTGTTGTTGCCACTAATACAGTAACATCCAGATTAGTTCTGAAGACTGAGAAACACTGTAGATAATTTACCCTTGTAAAGTAGCTTTCTAAGTTTAACACACTGTGAATGTAGATCCTCTCCTGGGTGTGGGGGAAGAACAACTGGGGAGGGGACTTTACTAAACAAAAATGGTAAGTGGGGGAAAGTTCAACAACCTCTGTCTCTCCTGACATTGCTTAGCAAAGAAGTAGCATTGGGATTTTAAGACATGATGTGAAGATGAAATGTGGTCAAAGAATTCCTATAAGATACTAAGTCCACAGGAGAGTGGTTCCTAGTCATTATGCTATAGGAATATTAGCAAATGTGAAAATAGATTGCAGATGCTATTTGTTCCCAACCTTCTTCTCTTTTTCAATTGCTTGGCTTCTTTCTTTTATAAAATAAATGAATTTGGAATATAAAATGGCCTGCGTGTTTCTATCAGTTTTGCCTAACATATCATAACATATATGATCTTGCTGTTCTTAGAAGACAGATTTGTAAAAAAGCTTTCTGGATTATGCCATTTTTCAGGCCAGCAGAGTTTTAAGAAACAAATTTGAGAGAACTGTGTAAGGTGCCTATAAGAGATATTGTCATAAATAATATGTTATTGCTAGCTTGGGGTACATTATGCTATCATTGTGCTTGGAGTATATTGTTTGAAAATAAAGCATTTTTGTTAAGGTCTTTAAAACAGATGTTGACTTGTTTCCTTACTTAACTTTGATTATTTTTTAGTTGCTGTTAGAACATCTGGAATGTCTTGTATCCCGCCATGAGAGGTCTCTTAGGATGACTGTAGTAAAGAGACAGGCCCAGTCTCCAGCAGGAGTTTCTAGTGAAGTTGAAGTTCTCAAAGCACTGAAGTCTTTATTTGAACATCATAAAGCCCTTGATGAAAAGGTAATGAAAGGCGGCTATTGAAATACTGAGTACACAGCTTATTACTTGTGAAATGTTTTATTAAATCATTATGATGAATCAATTAGGAGCATAAGTGTAAAACTCAGTAAGTCGCAATTACTGACGTTCAGGTCATTAATGCAAGTGGAAAAATTAGTTAGAGAACACAAAGTAGTTCAGCTTGTTTTTCTTGGTATAACTTGCTTGCCTTTGTGGAAAAGTTGAAAGTAAACATGGACCAGTGAGCTGAGCTGCTGAGGAGGTTTTCTTTGTAAAATATACTTCTGTCCAACTGACGCTTGATAGCACTGATGTCCCCTTTGGAGTATAGGAACAAGCACGAGAATGGCTTTTAAAATCAAGTGCAGAACATTGTTATTGAGCCAGTGTGATTTAGTAGTTAAGAGTTGAAGACTAAGACTCAGGAGATTTGGGTTCTGGTCCCCCCTCTGCCACAAATCTCATTGGGTGATTTTGGGCCAGTTAGCCTCTCAGCCTAACCAAACTTATGTGGTTGTTGTGAGGATAAAATGGAGAGGAAGAGTATCATGTAAGCCAGCTTGGATCCTTGCAAGAGGAAGAAAGGCATAAATTTAATGCAATCATCATCATGATCATGTAATCATGCCTTCCCTTTTAACTCATTTAGTTTAGGGATACACAACCTTTTCAATCCTGAAGGCTGCAGGTGTCTGTTGGGGTGCTAAAGACTCCACATGGGTGCCCTCACATGCATCCACACATTTTCCAATTTAAATACCCCATCAAGATATTTTATTTTATTTTCCAAGCAAAATACTTCTAGTCATTACATTTTATCTCACTTCCACACCACGTCACTATGTCATCACTTTCATGCTTTAACTTTTAAAAATGCCATGCTTCTCTATGATTCATGGCAGTGCTAGCATCTCTCTGACCAAGTCATGGAGCCCTCTAACAAGTGCCTGCTAAATCATGTTCTGGAAGACGATTTAGGAGTCTTTCTCACAGGACTTTATAGTTCCTGCAAGCAGACAGCTGTTCCTAGAACAGGGCAGTGCTTATTTGTTAAAAGTGTGCATGTTTGTTCAAGAAGGTTGGATTACAAATTAAGAAAACCTAAGCATTAAAAATTTACCCAGCATAAATCAATTTACCCAGCATCAATGTTTGTCTCTGATTGTATTATCATCAATCCATGTTTCTGTGGTGACAGGTGGTGCTATGTTCATTGCTAACAAATGCAGCAGGAGCTCTACATGCATATTGGCTCTTTCTTGGTCTTGTATAACCAACTGGTTCTGCATGGCTCCAGTTATAGGAAAGAAATGTGTGCTTATTGTATTGTTTCAAAAAATGACAAGACAATGTCTTCCCATTTATTGTTAGAAATATGGAATGTCATACTTGATATTTCAGCTCCACTAAAGCTAGCAGAATTGCTAATATTTATAGTTTGTCTTTATCTTTTAGGTGAGGGAAAGGTTACGAGTAGCGCTTGAAAGATGTAGCTTGTTGGAGGAAGAACTGGGTACTACACACAAGGAGGTAGGTCATTGTCTTCAAACCAAAGCAGTAAGAACTTAAGAAAAGCCATACTGAATCAGACTTGAGTCTCAACATTTTCTTCACACAGCCTTAGCTGCCCCTGGGAAACCCATTTGCAGGACATGAGTGCAACAGTACTGAGAGTCAGTATGAGTATGGTACTTAGAGTGTTGGACTGTATACCTAGGAGATCCAGGTTCTGCTCCTCACTCAGTTGTGTCACAGACTCTCAGCCCAACGTATCTTACAGGGTGGTTGCTAGGAGGATAATACGGCACTATGCAAGCCACATTGGGTTCCCCTATGAGGAAAAAGGGTGGAATATAAATGCAATATATCATCATCAGTCGTCGTCGTCATCATCATCATCAATGTCCTCTTGTCCAGGCTGCCTAACAACTGGTGTGCATAGGCATACTGCCTCTGATACTCAACGTAGCATATATATATCAAAAACAGTAACCATTGGCAGCACTCTCTGTAAATTTGTACAATCCCCTCCAAAGTAATCCAGATTGGTGACCATCACTACATCTTGTGGATGTGAGTGCACGGTGTGAAGAAGTACTTCCCAACTCCAAACATCATCCTCATGAGATGTCTAGTATTATGGGAGATGGGGAGAAATAACTTTCTATGTATTTTCTCTACATTATACACAATCTTGCACTTTATTAGATTTGAATGGATCCTTACTGTTCTGGAAATAAGTTTGCAGGAAACCCTTGGATCCATTGTGGAGGGGAAAGACAAGGCTTAGTACCATGAATTCTTCGTCGTGGTCTCTCTGCATCACACATATGGGTGCTGCACCTGCGCAGTCGGGAAGATTCAGCTAGTAACATTTTTGCTGGAAACTCTGCTCCCTATCCCCTCATAAATGGGCAGAGTCCCCACCCTCTTGCCAGTCCACTTTTGACTGCTGTTTGCTCTGCCTTGGGCTCTCTCATTGCTTTCGATTTCCCTCACAACAAGGCTTAGTACCATAAAATCTCCCACTGCAGCATTCTTGATCCTGTCTAGAATTTGGTAGGATCAAGATTCCTTTCAGTTAGGAATCCCTTTCCTATTGGTATTTTTTTCCAAATGGAAGCAGTTTCAGCAGCAAATATGTCAACTGTTGTCCTAAGATCCAATTAAGTAAACAACAATCACAATATGATTATTATGGATACTTTTTTGTTTTATATTCCACTGTGCTTTTACAAGCAAGTATATTGGTTGATAAATATAAACTGAATGGATTATAGATATTAGTCTTTTTTCTAATTTTTAATTTTCAATCTAAAATGCAACCAAAATGACACTGCATTTCAAATAAAAATATATAAAATTAAACATATAATTAAATAATTCCAATATCGTGCCCCCCACCACCAGGACCAATGATACATGTTAAACATAAGAAGAACTCATTCAAGCATTTCAGGACATTCCTGCCCTCCAAAACTGTAATGATTCTTTTAACGGCTCAAATCCTTTGCCTTTTTTAAAAACAAGCTCAAATATACCCCAAATATAATTAAACATGTTTTTCTTTAAATGCCCTTTTCTTACTCTAATATTACATATTAATTTTTCATTAATAGCTATATGCCAAACTTCTGTATACCAACCACACAATTGGTAATCGTATTTTACTTTCTCTGCGTCTTATCCATTCACTAGTCTAACATTCTAATTGGATCATGTTATACCAAGCTATTTTCTGCTTTCCTAATACTGCTTTTATCTCCCCATTTTTATTCAATTTCTCTAGCCAGTCTTTTAATCGAATTATTTCTTTATTCTTTTAATATGTTCCCTAAAATCTCCCTCAAATTTGATGGAAACCCTTCTAATTCAGTAATTGGGCAAAATGGTGAAGTTGATAGCATTCATTTTTCCTAATATTTATTCCAGATTTGTAATTTATTTTAAGGAAAGGATTTCCTACCTTTTTTGTAATATTTTTATTTTCATATTTGAAAATAAGATCTATCAAGAATCCTTCTATATGAGAAGATTCTAACTGTAATCATATTATCCTATTGGGTTGTAATATAATATCCAGTATGTGCCTCACTTGATTAGTTATATAACTTTAGGAATACCCAATCCCCCTATCTTTTGTGATCTGTACCATCTGATTTTTATTTATCCCTGCTTTCTTGTCCCCACTACAAAACGTATTAATCATATCTTGCCATTCTTTTAATCCTTTAACTGTTACTTTAATCAGTAACATCATAAATAAAAATTTATCTTAGGCAGTATTTTCATCTTACATAATGCTCTTCTACCAAACCAAAATAATGCAATCTTCCTGAATTCAATCATTTTCTCTTTTCATCTTATCTAAATTATTCTGTTTTAAACATTCTAACTTTTTAGTAGTATTGATGCCTAAATACTTAATAACTCTGCATATCAGTGGATATTAGTCTTAACTTTCTTTTAAAATTGAGGGCAGCAGTATTTCAGCTACACTGATCTGGCTGTTACATAATGCTAACCTATGGTTTATTTAATTGTTATTTTGTTGCATTCCTCATGGTTTGTCTGCTAGATGGCAGAACAAATCATGGTTTGTCTTCTGAAGCCCTGAGTTATTGGTTTCCGTTTTTTACCCTGTCCCTCCCTGTATCTATGAACTGGTTTTCACAATACACTGGGGTAATCATGAGTTATTTAACCTTTCATTTGTAGTAGGGAGTTGCAAGGGATATTCAACCTCTGAATGAACCAAGGTTTGGCCAATACACCAGTACCCCATTGGGAGTTCCATATTCACAATAGCATTTGGCATGTTCAGCGGCTCACTGTGGGTTAAATAACTCACAGTGATCCTGGCTTATCATGTTAACCAGCCCTACATTTTCTCTTCTGCTAGTGCTAACAAATGATTTAGTTAGCATGGCTGGTTTCACACATCACAGCAACCCATAATCGAACAGCTCATGGGTAAAATAAACCCTAGGTTTGCCTAATGTGAACCAGGTCACCTGTCTTGCCTATTATTCATCAACACAATATTCTAATATCAAAAATGTTGTTGTTGTGAATTATTAACCTTTGCTAAATTCTCCTATTTCCATTTCAGAATTTATACTTTTTTCATGGCAATTGATCCAGTTTTTTAATGTTACTTTTCAGTTAATGATTTTGAAAGAACAGAACAATCAGAAAAGAACGCAAGCTGATGGAATGCCTGATATCAATCATGATCTGGAGAATACACCTAGCACTAATGGGAAGGTAGGTACAACCATTTTTTTTCTTATACAGCCTGCTTGCTGGTCACTTTTAGGGAATGAAATAATGTCTCAGTTGCATATATTTGTCCAATTCATTTCATTGAGAAAGTAACAAATGTGAAAGAGACTATATAGCATGACAATTTGGATATGTTATCACCTGTTTAAAATTCCCTGCTCTTATTAGCAGATTATTAGGTGATAAAGGTATGTCATTTCACATAAACATGGCACAGTCTGGTTTAGTTGTTTCTTAAAAATTTGGCAGTGAAAGATAGACACTTGCTCAAAGTTAAAATTTTTCTCCAGACACTTATAATTTGTTGCACTTCTGTACCACCCCATAGCCGAAAGTAGTAAATGCATAGGTTCCTGGTCATGCCTTTTCTCCTCATTTGAATCATTCTGTAGTCAACTATCTTTTTTTTTTTTTAAGAATTTTATTAAAATTTTAAACTAACACTAAAAACATCAGTCATCACATACGTCGGACTTACTGGGTCAGCCCCCTGCTACATATTTTTTAACATTCTATAATCATATTCAAATCAGTTTATAATATCTTAAAAACATCTCTAAATCTGCACCAAGTCCCGCTTCTCCAGCCAATCATAGAAAAAATCCCAAGTTTGATAGAAGTCAGTGTCTTCTTTCTCCTTCAGTGATAAAGTCAATCTATCCATTTCTGCGCAGTCCAGAATCTTTCTTAGAATCAGTTCATCAGTGGGTAGTTCCTCACTTTTCCAGTATTGCGCAAATTCAGTCCTCGCCGCTGTGATTAAATGTAACATCAAATATATTTCCTGTCTGTTAATATCTTCCAGTATGATGCCTAACAAGAAAACTTCAGGTTTAAAAGCAAAGGGTTTTTGTAGTATTTCCTCCAGCCATATATGTATTTTAATCCAATACTTTTTCACATTATCACAAGTCCACTACATATGGTGAAAAGTACCCACATTATGTTTACATTTCCAACATCTATTTGACGTATTTGGAAACATCTTAGCTAATCGTGTAGTGAACTATCTTATTGTACTAGAATTTTAAAAATTGTTAAAAGTTTTGTTTGCCTAAACAGAGATCTTCCAATGGTTCTTTGAGTCATGATGAAGACCTTGCTAAAGTAATAGAACTTCAAGACATCATAGAGAAGCAAACTAAGGAGCAAGCCCAAATGAAAGAACGGATCACTGCCCTTTCTAGCAGAGTAGCAGAACTGGAAGAAGATCTTGATACGGCTCGAAAAGATCTAATAAAATCTGAAGAAATGAATACAAAGTTGCAAAGAGATGTCAGAGAGGTGAGATTCTCAATTTTAAACATCTAGTAGTCTCTTAAATTCATTGTTCTGTAATTGTATTGGGTATACAGTCTAAATTATTTGTTTGAACCGATGGACCAGTTTACCAGTCAGTATTGACAATACTGAGTTAGCTGAATCAATAGTCAGATTCAAGGCAAAGTTCTCCGTTCTGTTCTTTTAACTGCAACTTTCAGTTTGCATGTATATTTGATAGTATTTCTTCTGATTAAAATATGAGTTTTTCTGGAATTTAAAGGCATTGTGCATTAAGTTCCTTAATATTTGCTTTTTAATTTAGTGATTTGACATTTTCAAATCTATTGCTTTTATCAACTTCAGCACAAGCCAGCTCAAAAATGTAATTATGGATATTAAAAGGAGGTGTTGCTACCCTCCCTATTTAGAGGGCTTAAATATCCTAGTACATACTTGGGTACTAGATGTTCAGAGCACTGTTTGGGATTAGACAAGGGATTCATGGACCCCATTGGAATTTCTATATTTCTTTGGCTTACTTCCCTTCCTTATCAAATAGCTCTGAAACTCTCAGTCTCAAAAGCAGTTTATTACAAATTTGACACTTGCAGATCTTAGTGATGACCATATGGAGTTCGATAAGAAATTGTTATTCTACTGCCAGCTTGCACAAGACACAAGAAATAAAGGGAAGTTACAATTGTTACAAATATTACAAATGGAATTTTTCATAACTTAGGCAATGGCTCAAAAGGAAGATATGGAAGAGAGAATCACAACCCTTGAAAAACGCTACCTCGCTGCACAACGTGAAGCTACATCTGTGCATGACCTCAATGATAAACTTGAAAATGAAATTGCTAATAAAGATTCCTTGCATCGACAGGTAGAAATTGTTTCTTAAGTGAATAGTACAAAACTTCGTCAAGCTATGTTACTATCCAATAATCTGCTAAGTATATATGATATTGAGAAACATGATAGGGATACTTTTACAGCAGTGCAGGTAGCAGGTCAGTCACACTTCAGGGATTTAAATATTAAGTTATATGCAACAACTGTGCAGGGGGAAGGGTGCTTGCATAATGGGGCTTTCCCATCATCTGCACTCCCACAAGACTCTCAGGGTTGGTAGACCCTCAAGATAGGCCTGGTCTTTGGCCTGGGGTATTACACGGGGGAGAACGGGCACTCTTGTAAGTGTCTTGTATGATAGGTCAGGAGTTTGATTTGCAGCCATATACAACTGGTTAATTGAGAAGCTTAGTATACATCTGAGCATTATTGAAGAAAAACATTTTATATAGTGTATCAATTGTCACTGATAAACTCACTTGGACAGAATGCAGTGTCACACAAGCAATAATATATTTGTATCCCAAAATGCTTTTCCTCTCACCATTACTCCTTTGTTCCCCTTCCCCTGAAAAATATTCTCCAGAAGTCCTTCAAATTCATTGGTGCAGATTTTGAGTGTGGAAAAGAAATCACCACTTCCTGATTCCATTGGTGGAAGCTGTTCCATCAGTGAGGAAACTTCATTTGGTTTCAGCACTTATTTCTAATCTTAAAATGTACCTCTTATTTGTTGTAGTAGTAGTCTACCTGGGTTTGTGATAGGTATTGAATGTTGGAAAAACTATCTTCTGAATTAGGTTAGAAGGTTAGAGCAAGGTTAGAGCACTTGTTCATATTACTCATGGAAATAGTGTGCTAATGTGGTTAACACTGTATGTGAAATGGCATGATTGCTGAAACCCATAACCTTTCTCTACAGTTCCTCCCAGTAGTTTACCTTGCCACCACTGGTGGAGAAAGCTATTGAAAGTAACAATTGATATGATAGCTGCAGCAGTATATATAAGTAAATTTATTATATTCTTGCCTGTAGAGTGAAGACAAGAATAGGCAGTTACAAGAACGTCTGGAACTAGCTGAGCAAAAATTGCAGCAAACTCTGAGAAAAGCTGAGACCCTGCCAGAGGTGGAGGCTGAATTGGCTCAAAGAGTCGCAGCTCTTACTAAGGTAGGTGTACAGTCTGTAGGACAAAGGAGCCTTTTTCTCTTTAGCAGAAATGTTTTCCTTTAATGATTTGGTTCTTCCTGTCTTTTGTATTCCTGATTTTTATAAAATGGCTAGCCATCAAGCTATACATGTATGTAGTCCTCTAGCTCTGTAATATAACAATTGATTTGTAAAATTTGTTTGGAGGCTGAGCACTGGTGTCATCTCAGTGTGCTGCATTATAAATTCCAGCTTCTACTGGAGAAAATTGTCTCCCCAAGCAATCTTATGTGTATTATTTACATAGTTCTTGGATACCTTAATTTTTTTTCTTGTCACTTTTCTTATTCCTTATTGGCTTTTGTAGCCTGAACATTTGCCTTCTGGGAATTCTACAGCTAAAGATGTTAAACTGTTGGGACATACTTCCAATTACAGGAAGGTAGAATTTATACAAAGGACACTGGTCCTCGTTTTTGCCTGCTGCTTGCTTAAAAACATGCACAGATATTAATATGAAAGTGGAGAAGAATTTAAAAGAAAAGAAACATTGAATATATTTTCTTTCATTGCAAGTGAAGTGAATGGTGAATGCAAGGTCTTTTTTTTCCTCTTTTCATTTATTTTTTCTAGTTGTGAAGTTTTCATCAGTCACCAAAGCAAGGTGTCCTGGGTGCAAGAATGAATTTCTCATTTTATACATGAATCTTCATTTTATACCTTTTTTGCTGAAAATTGGCGGTGAAACATCTTGCAATATGTGAATAAAAATAGCAGTCTCCATAAAGCATGATATGCTGGTTTGCAAATAGCTTTTCCTGAAACAGTCTCAGATTTTAATTACCAGTTTGATTTTATAATGGCAGGCTGAAGAAAGACATGGTAATGTTGAGGAAAGATTGAGGCAAATGGAAGCACAGCTGGAAGAGAAAAATCAGGAATTGCTAAGGGTATGTCAAGACAGTGATTACTAGTGTCTTACTCTTCCCTTCCTCTTCGCTCAAACACACACACAAACTTCATAAAGCGACAGGTTGCTAGTGGAAGTATGTCTTTATATTCCATGTGAAATTATCTGAGTGGATAGCTGTTACCTAACATACCTGCATAAGGCTAGAGTGCTCACTGGCTTTCATGGGTGAACTGATTTCTTAGAACAAGGTCTGCTGTTTGAAACTACATAGTAATTAACTAATTTGAGTACATTATTCTGAAAGAACCTTTGCACCTGGCAAAATTGCTAGTGACTAGAAGTTGGAGGAATACTCATCCCCCAAAATCACACTGCAATTTTCTAGGGCTGGTTCAGTATGCTGTACTATGGCATAAGGCTTGTTATCTGTCATCTTGAAGACAAAAATACATTCCATTATAAAGAACCATGAACCACACTGCAAATAATTTTAAGATCTGCACACAGAAAAAGTCAGAAAAATGCTTGGATTAGATATATTTTGTATATCTAAAGTATTGGGAAGGGAATATTGCTAGCAATGTTACTTACTGTCTACAACCCTTGCCCCTCCAATGTAGGCTCGCCAAAGAGAGAAAATGAATGAAGAGCATAATAAACGTTTATCTGATACTGTTGATAAACTTTTGTCTGAATCCAATGAGAGGCTTCAGCTTCACCTTAAAGAAAGAATGGCAGCCCTGGAAGATAAAGTAATTATGAATTTTATGTTTGTTGCTTGCATACTATACTATAGCAATCTTAACAATGGATTTTGAGAATGTAAAGGTACATATTTTAATGGCCATTTATCTAACCATTTATGGTGAGGCAGAGAAACAACATAAAAGGATGGTATAGGTACTAGAGAAGATCAGATGTACAGAAGTTCCAAAACCTTTGCCTTGTGATTGGAAGAAAAGGATATACTTCTTTTTAAATATGTTAAATGGTGGGTTAAAGTAGACTGCCAGTGGACAAAGGAGAACCTCAGCAAGATTGAGCTTGATAGGTTTCTATTCCCAAGTGAAGTGACAGGTAATAAAGAAAGCAGGCACATTTCAGAAGGATATAGGTGGTTTTTATAATTTGTGGTATAAATGTTACAAATGTATACCATGGGTATATTAACTGTTAAAAACTGAATCCTGTATTCTTAAGTAATAATACACCTTTTCATTGAATTTTGTTTCAGAATGCTCTTCTTCGTGAAGTTGAAAATGCTAAGAAACAAATTGATGATCTTCAAAATGAAAAGGTATCAGCTGAAAATAAAATGAATCTTTTATGCCACAGCTGTCATCTAACTCAGATGTGAGAGTGAATAATCTTTCATTTTTGAAGTTGGAATAAATTATCATGATAATTAATATCTATATCTATAAATAATTTTAGGTGCACACACTTTGAACATATTTTTCTTGAACTAATTATTTGTGGAAGTAACTCCAGAGAGGAACTCATCTCTTTCAAGTTGAAGAATCTCAAGATGGATTCTTCAAATTCAGGGGTGATGGCATAGGGCTTTTCAGTTTCAAGGTTACAAAGTGAAGATAGACAGAGTATAAGAACTGGCCCACCTTGGAAAAGAAGATATTTCAGATCAGGGAGAAGAAGAGATTGAGGAAGAGTTCTTTGACCCTGTAAGGAAATGACAGGCTAAACAAGCAGACCAATTAAGAAGTGCCCAATGTTTCTGCTGTCTAGCTCTCAAGCTGCAGGAGCCACCCTGAGGGTAGAGTCAGAATCTTTTTGAAAGAGAGGGAAGAAGGGGATTTTTCAGTGTGGATTCAACTCTTCACATATGCAGATACTACTTTCAATCTCAAAAAGATCATTCTTTTGATTGATGCTGTTTTGTACCCTAGTAGAGCTCAAAAGATTGTGCTTCTGAGGTTTTGTCCAAGTCTGCTAGAGAAAGAAAAGTCAGGGAGAGAGCTGCCCATAACAGTAATTATAAACAGCTAGGCAAGATTAGTTCCCCTTAGTAGGTTTGAAGACACATTATGTTACGGAATTTCATTCCATGATGCACCAACCCAAAGATCATTAGCACATTAAAACCATGCATCTTTAATGGAAATTTTTATGTTATTAGACAATAATTACAAGAAAATGAATCTTTTTTATCTTTGCAGCAAACCTCAGAAGTAACCTTTCTGGTTATCTACTCTGTCCTTACAATGTATGCGTAGTACACATTTGAAATAGGCTATCTTAAATATTCAGTGCCTTCCTAAAAGTAATAAACAGTGCTGCAACTATACTATGTCATTAGTGGCCAAGTATTGTTCCAGTATACTATATAAAAACTGTATAGCTCTTCCTGTGAAATTGCCCCATATTTTGTCTTTTATCTACCCATGGTTTTAAATGGCTCTTAACTAAATGCAGATTAAATACTGGTTTTGGATATTAAGGCCAGCTGATAGTGGCCAATTTAGGACTGGATGCCAGAAGGTAGAGGATCTGGCCTGCCTTTTTTCCCTCTTTAAAGGAAACCTTATTTTTATTTGTTGGGAGGAATTATTTTGTGACATACCATGCTATTAAATTTAAGTTAAACTAGAACTAGGGAAGACTTTTTTTTAATCTCAACAGATTATTATATAGGCCATTGAGTTATTTTAGTCAATTTAATATTTTTAGTATACAATCAATGTTGATGGTTTGTAAATTTATCACCTGTTTTCCTATTATATTTAGCCAGATTTTTTCCTATATTGACATTCTTCTTAATTTTGTGTTTTAGTCTCATGTATATGCAGCAACTATATTAAAACTAGTAGTTTCTAATTAATAAAATTAATTTCTTCAAAACTGTCAATGTTCATTGTAGGATCAATTGGTACTAAGCATTGAAACAATGAGAACTGAAAATGAGCAGTTGAGAATCAGAGGCTCTTCCCTTCAGCACAGGTAGAAATTTTTAATGAAAATTGCTTTGTGCAATGTTATAAAGTAGTTATAAGTTAAAATAGATTGTGTGTATCTAAATTATTGAAGCCTTTGAGAAAGTCTCTCTTGTTAATACTAATATGGTATCTGCTCTTGTTTTAGTCGTCCCCATTTGGGTAGTGTACCAGATTTTAGATATCCTCTGGCACCTTCAGCCCTAGCTGACAATCAGATAGATTCTTATAGCACCTCAGTTTTAAGACGTCCACAGAAAGGACGTTTGGCAGCCCTGCGAGATGAACCTTCAAAGGTAAGAGGGCTTATTTAAAAACAACAACAAACAACTTGTAAAATAGCATGCTTAAAACTTGTGCTACTTTTATCTTAAACTGCAAGATTGTTGTGGAAATACTCCATATCTATATACAAGTCAGGTTCTATATTAAAGTGCAGGGCTGAAAAAGTTCTGAATTTGTATCTAAGTTTAAAGGGTGGTAGGTAACCCAAATGTACTAGCTTCAGAAAAGCAAAGTTTTCATAGAGCACTCATTTTATTTCCGTTTTGGTAGTAAACAATGCTATTTGGAACTGTTTGACTTCTTAAACGTTTTGCTGTAGTTCTAACAACTGGATTTAGTTACCTGTCATGATGATGTGCATTAAGTATAAAGTCAGCTTTACCCCTTCAGTCCCTATATGGAAATAAGCTCTATGTGGATCACCTTCTGGATTAGCATCATATAGATTCCTATGTCCAGCATCCAGAGTTTTGTGTTGTTTCACATGTTGGCTTGAGATTATGTGTTGAGCACTAAACAGATGGGCCTGTTGGCTTTGACTTTTTCATTCACTTGTGGAATGTGAGACAACTGAATTTAGGATGCTCCCCTTTCTTGATCACTAGGACAGTAACAACCAGCTACTGAGCAGATGAGCAGTCCTGTGATTTGGATCCACCATTCTGCAAAATGAAGGGCTCCTTACAAGCACAATACAAGAAAAGTTTCTATGGGGGAGTGGGGAGAGAGGGAAATTTAGTTAATTCCCCACCAGCACCACTACTTGCATTGTTTCAAAGGATTGCCAACTCTTCAGAACAGATTTTGAGCAGCAAAGAGGGAGAAGGGAGGAATTGACAAAAGAAAGCCTTCCCCAGCTTCTGCCAGTGGAAGAACACATGGCCTGTTTGTCCCACTTGGCCTGTCCCTCTGAAGCAAGCAGCTAAACAAACCAAAAATAGTTTGCTTAGGATATTGTCCAAATCAGGGATTTTGGCTTGTTTCTCTCTTTACACACAAAGTTCCCAAACCAGGGATTATTCTTAATTTATGAATCATGGTTGTTGCCTTATGAATCCCTGATTTTATCAGTCCAGGGAGCTACAAACTATATGTGGATTATACACTAAGCAAAAATGTTGGTTTCTTCACCTGCTTGTACTAGTGGAAGGAGCAAAACAGGAGCAAATGGGCTATGTGTATCAGCATGTCATTTATTCACAAAAAAAAAAAAAAATTGAATTTGCCCAAATCCTAATCCGTTCAGTGTAGCCACAGACTACTACTATGACTGGGTTCAGATAACACAATAAACTACATTCAGGGATCGTGTATAGATTGCTATTTAAGTGTAGGTTAAGTTATCTGAACCAGTCATACTGTTAAACCATTGTTTGGTAACTACAAACAACCCATGAAGACATTATTTGTTGTTGAATTGGGATCTGTATATTATCCATGTTTAACAAACCATGGCTTGTTAGCATGGTTGGGTTCAGATTACAAGATAACCCCATCTGAACCAGTGGTTCAATAAAAACTCTCATTCAGTCCATATTCAATCGTTAAGTGTGGGTTATTGTGTTGTCTGAATCCAGCCACAGACCTATAGAATAAGGCTTTTGCTGTGCTTAAAATATACACAAACAAAACTACTTTGACCGTCTTTTCAGATATAACAAGAAATAGAGTAGCTTGTTCTGTATTCTGATAGATTGATCTCTGATCATGTTTTACTAGAATAAATCAGGTAACCTGTGAATATGATTTTGCAATGCTTATATTGGTTTACTGCATTCTAACTATTGCTGTCTTGATGGATTGCTGCAGCATGTAAGTGAAATCATATTGACTATATTTTTATATTTTTAACTGAAGAGTAATCTGAAATTAAAACTGAGATTGTGTGTGTTAAACAGGTTCAGACACTTAATGAGCAGGACTGGGAGCGTGCACAACAAGCAAGTGTATTGGCAAATGTTGCACAAGCCTTTGAGAGTGATGCTGATATCTCGGATGGTGAGGATGACAGAGAAACTATATTCAGCTCAGTTGATCTCTTGTCACCTAGTGGTCAGGCGGATGCCCAGACTTTAGCCATGATGCTTCAAGAGCAGCTGGATGCCATTAACAAAGAAATTAGGTATAGCTTGTATTTTTATCATTAATTTTCAAATTTTTATAGGTTAACTTACTTAGACTCATCATAGATGGTATATTTAATTTACATATTTTATTGTGTGTGTGTTAATATATATCTGATTGTTTGAATTTTTCAGTTTGAAAATGATTTCTATCTGTCATTATTGTATGGGTTCCTTCAGTAGCTTGGGATTCCAAGTTTAGTTCCTTGGAATACTACATGTGTTACTGCAGCTCTCCTGTGAACAGAGTCTCCTGCTTATGGAACAAAAAAATTGGGGTCCAGTTCATATTTGCTATGATTCAGTTTTTTATGAGTATTAAACTTAATGTCCTAAACACAAGCAGCAAATTATTCTTGATGAAGAAAAGTTTGTATGAAACATCTTGGCACCTTTAATAGATGGTCCGAAGACAGGGACAGCTTTATCTGATTTTGTCCCTTTGTATCAAGGCAACATTTAATATTGGACCATAAGTATTCTAAATGTGAATGCTGGGGAGAAATAATGGGAGCTGCAGTCCACTAACTTTTACAGGGCTACAAGGCACCCTGAACTAAAGCATGACCAGCCTATAAGCAATAAGTCAATGGTGTGAAGAAGTTTCACTTTATTCTCCATTAGCTTTATTTTCCACACAGTGCTATTACATAGCTAATTCTAATTGACTGCATAGTGTTGTGAAGTTGTCACATTTTCATCCAGTTTGACAATTGGATAGGATTACCTGTATTGCTAGTACCAGAAGAAGGTCTTGTTTTAAAAAATGTTGCTGCTGCTGATGCAGCTGTAGATCAAAGGAACAATGACTGTGAATAAGACCAAAACCAGACAAATATTCTTAGAGTTTGACTTTCTGCACCTGCATTTCACTCCCACCAAATAATACAATATTGACTCTGAAAATCAAAATGAGCATGAGCACAGCCCCAAAGGTAATACAAAAGGATGTAATTTAGGACTCTGCTTCTGAGAGACTTCAATATCAATGCTGAGGCAGCCTTAACAAGAGCAGCTTGGGACTTCATGTCCTCCATAACAGCTATGGGACTGTTTCAGTTTGTCATAAGGTCAGTGCATGGGGCAAGGCATACCCTTGATTTGGCCTTTGCCCCTGAAGATGAGGGGAGTGGTATAGAGATAGGCAGGGGGATAGAAATCACCCTGTTATGTTCAGATCACTTTCTAGTGCCAGTTGCTTCTCCCAGGTGTGGGAGAACCAATTAAGATGGTTTGTCTCTGGAATCTTTGGGATTTCTGAATGTTCTGGGAGATTTGTCAGTAGTCAGAGCCAGTGATTCTGCTGAGACCTTTGCTACACAGTGGAACAGCAAGATGTGACAGAACATTGACACATCACTCCTGAGTGTCATCTTTAGCATTGCAGAGCCTGGAAGGCTTTCTGGTATATTGGTAGGTTCCAAACAATGGTCAGAAGTCAGCTGGAACATAGCTGATACAAGACCTTTTGTGAAGGTGATCAAGTTATGCCTACTGCATGGTGGTAAGAAGGCTTACATTCTGGTCTCCATTGTATCCTTCAGTAGCTGTTTAGCTGAGCTTTTCCAAGTTGTTTGGGAGTTGCTTTCATCTGATCCAGTGCCAAAACCCTTGGAGGCCAACTGTGATAAGTTTGCAAGACACTTTAAGGATAGCATTACTCTTGCTGACTTGAACACTTGATGCAGTATCTGTTGAGGTCTCCAGTTCATTAACTTATCCTGTTTTGTGGGATCAGTTTCAGTGTTTGGAGCTTGAGGATATAGGCAAGACACTTGCATCTGTATGACCTACCACTTGCTTTCTTGACCCAATGGCTAGTCATGGGGAATTGACTAGATGGATCAGGAAAGTAGTTAACTGAGTGATGACAAGGTCCCCATTGCCTTGAGGCAAGTGGTGGTGGGATAACTCTTGAAAAAACATGCCTGGATCCAGAGCTCTGTGCCAACTTTATTCTGGTCATAAACAACACATTCCTGAGTAAGATGCTCAGGAGAGTGGAGGCATCTCAGCTGTAGGCTCTCTTGAATGGAATTGATTATCTGGATTCAGATCAGGTTTGGGGACAGAATTAGCCTTGGTCACCCTACTTTGGGAGAGAGATGGGGGAGTGTAACTTTGCTATATATTCTGGATCTCTCACTGCCATTTGATGCCATTGAACTACAGTATCCTGTTGGACAACCTCCATGTCTTTTGCTTTTGGTGGCACTGTTCTGCAAAGGTTCAGTTCATTCTTGTGGGATCAGTCCCAGAGAGCAGCATTGGATGACTGTACCTTGGCCCCATGACATCTGAACTGTGGTGGTACTTCAGGACACCATCTTGTCCTCCGTGTAATTTAATAACTTTATGAAACATTTGGGAGTGGTCAACAGGAAATTTTGGGCAAAGTGTCACTGGTACACTGAAAATACCTAGTTCTATTTCTCTGTGAGATCTGAATTAGGGAAGGCCACTCTAAAACAGTGCCTGGATGTGGTTATGAGCCTTGGATGAAGACTAACAATCCGACATTGAATCCCAGTAAGATAGCAAACCTTTGGGTTGGTAGCTCCTAAGTCCAGGAATTGGGCTGTTTGCAAGTTAACGATGGACTTTCATTCCCTTGAAACAAGCAGGTTATGTGGATCTGACAGTCACTACAGCCCCAGGTGACTTCAGTGACCTAGAACACACATAACCAACAACCAGCAAAGACTCCTTGTACCTGTGAAGATCCAGACACAGGTAGCCTCACAGTTAAACTATAGAAATGTGCTCTGTGGGACTGCCTTGATTCAGAAGCTGCAGCTAGTGCAGAATGCAGCAGCTAGGATGCACACTGAAACATCCAGCAGTGCCCACCTAAGTCGTGCTAAAAGAACTGCACTGGCTACTTATTCACTGCCAAGCAATGTTCTAAGTTATGTTACTGACATATAAAGCCCTAAACTAGTTGGGATCAGGACATTAGGAATATGCCTTCCCTTGTATAAACAAAACTGACCCATAAAATCATCAGAAGAGGCCTTGATGATTCTTCCAGAATTATCAGACTATTACTGGGTAATACCTTGATGATAGGCCTTCTTGTCAGCAGCGTCCATCCTGTGGAGAATACTCCCAATTCAGGAGACAGAAAATGTGGATCTTTGAAATGTGTCCTAAAAATGAATTTGTTTATTCAGACTTTCCCTGACTTGTATTTAGAATAACTGTCGCTCCAATGTATTGCTTACTACTGTAATTTGAGTTATTTAAAAAATAATATTTTAAATGTGTGTTTTATATGTGGATGTAAGCTGCTTATGCCTAATACTTAGTAAAATAGAAATATTACAAATAAACTACCTTAGCTTTCACTAAGACTTGTAATGGAGCTCATATGAGACAATGCAATGAAATCCTTTATAGTCATAACTTTCAAGTTCTAATAATAAGCTGGATCCAGACTTAATCATGCTTAAAGAAGACCCATCAAAATAATTGGTTTCAGTAGATATTACCTAAGTAAATATGTATGCAGCCCGTGTCAATAACTTGCTGCCTGTTGTTTGATAATAATAAAGCAGTCATTTGAATCCAGACAAACATACAGAAGTATATGGTGTTCTCATGCTTTTACAGCAAGAAAGATATGTTCTACTAATTTAAATGACAGTTTTCACAACATAGAATAATGTAAAACTACCTGCCCTTCCATGAAAACATTGTCTCTGTAGTCTTCTTTTCATTCTTGATACATTGCCAAAAACACTGCACAGGCAACCTAATTTAATTGTGCAGTTACATTATTTGGTATAAATTGAAATTAACCATTTGCAGGAATGCAAGATATGTTAATATATTTAAAAAAGCATTTCAATTTATTATTGTGTGTGCGTGCGCGGTGCAGGTGCACTTGTGTGACTTTGCCACCACCATTGTGTATAGTAAGATTTTGTGCAAATATGTATGTTGGTGCACTTAGTTTGGTTCCTGATTCATGCTTGTCTTTTGTGGCAGATATTCTTGTGTAAACCAATTGTATCATTTATCAATTCTTTAGATTGATACAAGAAGAAAAGGAAAACACTGAGCAACGAGCAGAGGAAATTGAAAGCCGTGTTGGTAGTGGAAGCTTAGACAACCTTGGTCGGTTTCGGTCTTTGGCCTCTCTTCCTCCTCCTTTTTCCGGTGGTTCCCTTTCTGGCTCTTCTCCACCTGGCAGTGGTCCATCCACACCACGGCGAATGCCCCATAGTCCTGCTCGAGAAGTGGACAGACTAGGTATCATGACACTAGTAAGTATTTCTTTTTTCCTTCCTTCTCCCCATAAGAGAAAAAACCCAGTAATTAGCACTTGTTTTGTTCCTCATTTTTTACATAAGCTTATGCTCTTTGACTGTGTTTGCACATTTGTAATTCAGCTTGTTAAGTCAATGTAGCAAAAAGCTTGTTTGTAGAGCCCCATTATTCCCCTTAAGCCATGATTTTAACTAGGACACCTCCAGTTTCCTGTCTTATCTATAGTACAGATTTTAGAATGAGCCAGAATATTAAACAATAATTTGAATTTAATTATCTTGACTTGTTCCATTAGCATCCTGATTTGGATGGAATGAGAAACTACAGTTACCTGGAGGTTTTTCAGTTTAATTTTGGGAAGAACTGAAATAATTTAATAACATGATATGCAGTATATCATGGCTGTCTGTGTGCTAGTCAGCTCCATCATGAAGTTCAATCTACTTGTCTCTGTGTCATTGTCAGGACATTGTCCCGAAGCATATGTTGTTTACATTCAGAACTGCAAAGAGTTACAAATGAGTAGTTGGGCCATACTCACCTTTTTAGGCAGCCTGCTCTGATTTGGCCAATGACTTAATGGACAGATTAATTGGACTTCCTCTAGAGAGTGTTACAACAAATAAAATATCTTCCTTGTATTAATGCTTTCTAGTTTTGAATCATCATCGGATCTGCTTTATCTTAATTTCTCTTTTTTGCATGCATCTGTCAGCCTAGTGATTTAAGGAAACATCATAGAAAGGTAAAGCATCAGCAATGAATGTATGTTGAGTATTATAAATTAATTATGCAGTTCTATATGATATTAAAAGTATACTCATGTCTCTGGATGACCAACAAGATTATGTAAGGCAATCCCTCATGTCCACGACCACCGATTGCTTGCTTGTTGTCCAGACATGCCTGTCCCATTGCCTTTATTTATTTATTTGTTTATAAAATTTGTATGCCGTCCAATGACTTGCGTCTCTGGACGACTTACAACAATTGTTGAAACACAAATGGGAAAGACACCTCAAGTTATATCAGAGAATACAAGAAAACTGAGCCATTTCTCCCTTGGCACATGATCTTCTTCCCACCCCTCTTCCCACATACATACTGCACATTTATTCCATAGGGCATATGCAGCAAAATGGTTCACTTGCCCTTCCATATTGATGAGTGAAGGTAGAAACAGAACAGTGCATGACTTCACGTGTGTCATCTTCCCTGTGATCTCACTGCAGCAGTGGTGCAAATATCCAGATAGGCAGGGTTTCACTCCTGTGTTTCTGTATTTGACTTCTTCCAGAAGCAAAGAAAGCAACCTGAACCATGTCAGGCTACTACAACTAGTTGGCATAGAACAGCATTATCTCATCCATTGCCCACCATACTCATGCGTAACTTTTATATATTTTAGAATATATAACTAAATATACATACAACTAAAATTTCTCAAAGCAATACACGTTCTGCAGTATCTTTATCCTAAAAGTTTCCACTACATTTCCATTTAATTTTAATTGGAATATGGCATCAGCACTCCTGAGTTTTAGAGCTCCTTCTGGAAGAGGCTGGAGGAGGCATTGGTGGTTCAGTGATATAAAAGTATTTTCTTCCCTAACCCTCTTGTTTATATATAGTGCCTTACAGAAATATTCTCTCACACACAGAAATAGTCTCACCCTTTGGCTTTCCATGTTTTGTTATGTTACTACCTGGAACTGAAATGGATTTAACTGATGTTGACATACACAAGATTCTCAACACTGTGAGGGAGCAAAATATTTTTATTGTGGCACAAAAACAAAGTAACAAAACAAACAGCGTTTGTTGGTTGCGTAAGTATTCAGCCAGCTCATTCAAGCAAATTTGACAGCAATTCCAGCAGTGAGTTTTCTTGCAGAACTCTATTAGCTTTGTGTACCTGGATCCTGCAGTGCTCTGTGTTGGAAAACTATTCCTGCTTTGTTAGGTTGAATGGGGAACATTGGGTGAACAGCAACCTTGGCAATCTGGACCCAATGAGCAATGCCTTCTGAGGGTGGAAATTTTGGTGTAGTGGTGGCCATTTATACTGCTTGCCACCTCGGAGTAAAACAAATCCAGTATCTTCGGTTCTCATTCTCTCTTCTTTCTTTGGGAACAACTGGCCAAAGATTCCATTGGGGTACTGTGTTCCTTTTATGCGGTTTCTCTGTAGCTGCCTTTTGTCTTTAAAGGAGCACATGTAACTTACAGGTTTTGCTCACCATGTTGAGTGCAACCTTGTGTGTTCTGTTGAGTGTTGAAACACCATTGTGTGATTCAAAACATGATATGCCCCTTCTGAGCCTTCCCACTTTTTCACAGAAGCACACACACTAGGTTTTGGTGAAAACAGAGTAAAAGATTTATTAAGGGGAAAGGTTGGTTAGATTCTGAGCACAGAACAATTAACAGTTTAAAGTAGCAAAGCAGTGGAAAGGGGCAATGTTTCAAACTTGAATGGACTTGTAATTGTTTCAACAATCTCTTTCTTCACATCACTCTACTAAAGTCCAGATTTGTCCATTGACAATTTCTCTGAGATCTCTCCAGCTCCTTCCAAGTTAGTATTGGCCATTTGGTTGCTTCTCAAACTAATGCCCTCTTCTCTGATCACTGAGTTTTGGTAGACCTCAGTCCCTTGGCTGAGTTGTGGTTGTGCCATATTCATTCCATTGTGTAATAATGGCTTTAACAATGCTTCTGGGGATTTCATAGTTTGGGATGTATTTTTTATAACCCAACCCAGTTTGGGTTGCACAACATTATTCCTGGATGTTTATGATGCTAGTTTTTCAGATGTGTTTTCCAACAAACTCTAGGGTCTTTCAGAAACAGATGTATCTGAGTCTGTGTGGTCCTGGAATTGCACACAGGTGGACTCCATTCAACTACTTATAGTATGCAACTTCTGGAGGTGGTGGGTTGCACCAGGGCTAAACAAAGGGGTGAATACTTCTGCAACCAACAAGTGCCAGTTTGGGGGGTTGTTTTGCTTTGTTAACTTTTTTATTAACTTTTCTGTCACAGTAAAAGATTTTTCACTTTCTCAGTGTTGAGTAACTTGGGTACATCAAGTAGTAAAGCCAAATAAATCCATTTGAAAACCAGACTGTAACACAACAAAATGTTGAAAAATCACAGGGAGATGAATACTATTACAAGGCACTGTGTAATAGTACTATGTGTACTATACAAGCACTGTGTGCCTTGTGCTTTAGAATATGAGGACATGTCCCTGACCAAGCCTTTTAAATCTAAAATAATAATGTTTTGCTTGCCATAGAGCAGCCACAGGGAATTGCTCCCCTGCACTGATAGTTTATTACTGACCACTAGGACAAAGTAATTCAAAGCATCACAAGAGAGCAAGGATAGCTGCTTAATTAAGTCCATCAAATTGTCCTTAAGTCACAGTGAAATCAAATCATAAAGTTTTCATATTGATTTCTATAAGACCTCTGTGCTATTTACTTGGTCTAGAACCCCAGCACCTTGACTCAAGTGATCTGTTAAAATATTTATCTCAGACTGCACTATGCTGCAGAATTGTATCTTGTGCCAGATTCATAGATGTGACTCTTGTGATGGACTGTCCAAATGTACAAATATAAGAACCAATTCTCTGTCTCTTTTGTAACATTTTAAGAATGCACTGCTTTCTCTGTTCCTCCACAAACTTTTGGCCCACTTGCATTGTCAAGAGTTCAAGAAAAGGAATTTAGATATTCCAATTGTTTGAAGGTAAACTATATAGCAGGCTTTGCCCTTTTGAAAAGGCCTGTCCCTAAACTCTTACATTTCTGTTTTGAACAAAGTTCATAGATTACTATTTGGGTTCTGAACTATACTCTTGGGAAATATAAATTTGATGAAATACTTCTCTGAATTCCACCCCTTAACTTCAAAATTAGCTTAATCAGTTTAACCAAAGTAAGTGTAAAGAAGGAAAGAACAGGAAAAAATTATCACTACATTTCTAACTTGCATGAGTGTCATGTTATTTTCTTTGTTAAAACAGATTATTACCTTGTGGAAATTGCAATTATTGAATTTAAACAATCTGTAGCATTTAAAATTCTCTAATGGGTATTTTGCCTCTTAGTTGGACATGAATTAATATTCAGTTTGCATTCATTCTTAGTCTCCAGTTTCTCGGGAAGAAGTTAGAGATGACAAGACCACAATAAAATGTGAAACATCACCACCTTCTTCACCTCGATCTTTGCATTTGGATAGAGCCTATAAAGGAGCCTTACATACAGTGAGCCATGAAGATATAAGAGATCTCAGAAAGTAAGCGTTTGTAATGAATACAGTCATAGCTAAAGAGCTGTATATAAAATTTAATCTGGTATTTTATAATCAATATATGATATTGACTGGGTTTTCACAACACACCTACCCATCATGGGTACCTAGGTATGGTGGGTTCTTGTGTCATTTGAACCTGGACCACTTCCTGAAGGTTGACTTGCTAAAGAAAAATAAGCTGCCTTAATCTCACCTGGAAGAGGGTTATATGGTCACTATCTCCTTTTTTAGGCAAAGATCTGGGTTCAACTCTTCTTTTTGCTTGACAGCTGTTGAATGAATGCAAATAATGCATCTGAAGCCTAGTTTAGTCAATGGCCATGGATGATGCCTGCTTTGCCAGCAGGCACTTACCAGGATATGGACCTGGCAGGCTTTGCATTTAGGGCAGGCAGAGTTGTGCATCTGTGCAACTCCAAACTACTAACAATTCAAGGAAGAAAGGAAGGTAATATTGCATACATTCTCAGGACAAAAAAGGTGGCAAACCAGTGGTGATCACTTCAGTGTGCTACTTGAACACTTTGGAAGGGCTGCCATTTTGGAAATCATATCTGACTCTGAATCTGAACTGGAAGAAGAGGTAGGGTCAGACTGCTTAGCAGAATTGTCAAGGCCAGCAAGTTCTGACATAAGCATAGCAGCTGGTAAGAACCAGACCACCTCTGCTTCTAGAGGAGACACTGTGGAACAATGTCAGAGGGAGGATTGTAATTTTGTTGGCCTAGTAGTCCAATGTTAAGACAAATGAGTGAACAAATTAAGTAACATACTCCATTCCTGCTGTCTAAGCCACAGCTGCATGAACCTCCTTGAGACTGGTGCTGGAGTTGTTTAGGGGGGAAGGAAGGAGGAGAATTCAGTTTGGAATCATGTTCTGGTATAGGCAGAACTAAATCCACAGTTCAAAGTCTCAGTAACTTGATAGATCTTGCTAATTTCATAGTCAACAGACCTTCATATTACCTCTTTGTATCACAAAACCAGTCCTAGCTGGCCAACTTAACATAATAAAAGACTGTAGATAGAAACATCTTTTCCTGATCTGATGGGAAGGGAAAAGGAGAAAGACTAGGGAAGAGAGATGCTACTTCATGATATAGAGTATTCCTATTTTCAGCAATAGTAATACTGTTATAAAAGCTAAGCTGCTGTAATAAAAAGGAGATAGACCAACCTTTGGTGCAACCACACTTGGAAAATTGTGTTCAGTCCTCGTCACCTTACCTGAAAAAGGCTCTATTGAGTTGGACAAAGTACAGAGAAGGGCAACAGAATTGATCAGGGGAGTATAACTGTTCTCCTTTGAGAAGTGGCTTACAGCAACTGGAAATTTTTAGTTAAGTAAGGGGAGAAAAAATAGAGGGTTTGAGAATAATGCATGGTGTGGAAAAAGAACAGAGGGAGATATTTTTCTCCCTTTCTCATAACACTCTAACTCACTCATCCTGTGAAGCTGCTGGGAACTTTAGGACAGATAAAAGAAAGATCTTCACACAGTACATGGCTAAACTATGGGATTCACTTCTGCAAGTTGTGGTGATAGCCACCAATTTTGATAGGTTTAAATGAGTATTGGATAAATTTATGGAGGAGAAGGCTAACCATGACTACTATTCTTGCTGTCCATATGCTGTCTCCAGTATCAAAGGCTTTATGCCTGCATGCACCAGTTGTTTGGTAACTTGGGCATTTCATCCACTGTGTGAACAGAATGCTAGACAACATGGACCTTTTCTGTTCCAACACAGCTCCCATCCCGATTAACAATCCTGTGGGCAGCTGATTTGCCACCATGTGTACTGAGTGCTGGACTAGGCGGACCCTTGCTCTAATCAAGCATGACTTTTCTTTTCTTCACTCCCTAGCTTTCGATTGAACAACATTGCTCCCCAAAGTTTAATTTAACTCTAACCCTAACCCAAAACTGCTGTGTCTAATTAAAATGCATACAGTGCATGTTTGACAGAAGACTGAAAGGGATCTCTTTTACAGTTCCACAGGTTCTCAAGATGGACAAGTAAGCAATCCCAGCAGTAGTAATAGTAGCCAAGATTCCCTTCACAAAGCCCCTAAAAAGAAAGGAATAAAGTCCTCAATTGGTCGCTTGTTTGGTAAGAAAGAAAAGGGTCGACCTGGTCAAATCAACAAAGAGAGCTTGGGACAAGGTTGGTACATTATTAAACCCCCCAAAAAAGGCTGAGCAATTGCTTAGACATTGAACAAAGAAAGATTATTCATGACTAAACATATTGTTTGCAGACTGCAGCTATCTTGTACTATCCTAGCAATATAAACACCATAGCCTTAACGAGAAGTGGTTTTCTTGCCTACACATATGATTATGTAGGCTGCTTTTCAGATACTGAGCAAAGAATGGATCAGAACCTGCTTGAGATACCTATATTATTTAACTTGAACAAATGTCTCACATCCAACATTGTGCACAAGCGAGATTGTGAATCATTTAAGCATATAACCTTAGTAAACTTTTTGTATTTCTTTTGTTACTAAAGTTTGAAACATTTATGCTTAGTAGCATAAATACCAGCAGGAGTCACAAGCTTAAACATTTTTACACCATCAAATAAACTGGCCTGGGTTATAGTCCAATTTCCAAAACCCTTTTTAAAAGGATTTTTCTGTTCTTTTCCTAACTATTAATTAAGTTCATTTGTCTAATTCCCGTTAGCCAAAGTTTTCTGGGCAGTTTGCAAACCAGTGACATACTGAAACTAAGAAAAGTTTAGTTTTTAGTGCTGCACATTAAAGAAGTATACCATTAGTTTTGGGCTTCTTGCAGCAAGAACTGCAGCATGGCTTGGGTCAGGATGCGGCAAGGAGACTGGGGACAGATCCTCACACATACTCTGCCATGTTCTAGTCAGATCACCAGCTTCCATGATTTTTAAATGTGAGATTTTGAAACTTTTGATATGTATTGCCACATAGATTGTCTGAAGCTTGTTTATCTGTAGCTTTGAGTTCACTAAATAACTTAGGGCTTCTCTGAATTAGAGAGGAATGAGGAATCCATTTGTGGTGGAGGTATGTTAAATATTCAGGGTGCATCTTCCTGGACTCCCATCTACTTTGCAAAGGCCCAGAGTCTGAATTCCTGGCAAGCATGCCCCGAGTTCATGTGCTTGCCAGCAGTCAAGCCCCAGGCACTGTGCAAGCAGTGTCCCTCTTGCATGCCAACTGCAACCACTGCTTAAGCAGCTGCAACTGATGCAGAAGGTGCTCACCAAGAGAGGATCCCCCCCAACTCCCCTGCAACTGCTGTGCCATCAGTGTCCTCCTTCTGCACCACCTGCAGCTGCTTTTTGGGTTGCTGCAGCTGATGTGAAAGAAGGTTGTACGAGCATTCACAGACTTCCTCTTGGCTCTGTTCTCTTTGGAAGACCAGGCCAAAAACAAGAGGAAGCTCACATATGCCTGGAGAGATGGATTCCAGTAGGGTTGGTCCTAACCCTCTCTGTACATTGAGATGCCTGAAGGCCAAAACAGTTGATAACAAATGTAAACATCATAAAATAATCATTACTATAATTACTGTATGCTAACAGCTTTTTGAATTATTGTAGTTAGTGTAATAGAACCTGACAGTTCAACTCAGGATGGCTTAGGACTTGGAAAGCTGGGAGGACAAGCAGAAAAGAATAGAAAACTACAAAAAAAGTAAGCTAAAGAAACTTGCACATAAATATAATATTTGACTGTTATGTTAATTAAAAAGTCTGTTCTCCTTTTGCATTTCTACTACTTGTACCTTTCCATATGATTACTGTCAAATATCTGCACTTCATCTGTCTGCTATTTTCCTCTAATATGATAATTTGTGGCATTGTTTGATAGAATACTCAGTATTCCCATCCCTAGCACTCATATATATATATGGCTGCCATTGGAGACAACTTGGAAGCTTCAGCAGAAGTCTAGAATGCAGAGCGTTATAGATTGCATGTATAAAGGAAATTACACCAGTTCTTCAAGAATTGCACTTGCAATTTGTTTCCAGATGAAATTTGAGGTGCCAAAAAGGCCTACAAGTCTTGGGTTTCATACCTTGACTTATATGAAACCCTTCCAAGAGCTAGAAGTGCTTATCAAGGATTTCACAAACAAGGGAAGCAAGATTACAGTAGTAATGGCAATTATATATCATCCACAGAAACCCACCAGATCTCTTGATCCTACTTAAAAGCAGTAAAAACATCTCTTTAATTCTGCCCTGCCTTCTAAACTGTTGAACATTTTTGCATGTATTTTTGCTACCTTTTTATAAGTTTATGTGTTTTCTTATGTACAAGATTGACAAGCAGCCAGTCAAACAATAAAACGAATATTTGTTGCTGCAACAACTTTTAAGACTTATGTGAATATCATGAATGTAGAGACAAAAAATGTAAAGCAGTAGTGTAAAAATGGCAATTATAGGCAAAACTAAAGCCAGTGACAATTCAGTTAAGTCCTTTTTAACTTAGGTATATGCAAAATAAACAGAATAACTATTAGCAACAGCAGTGAATGATATTTACTAACAATTTCTTGCTTTTCATGGCTATTTGATCAAGGTAACTATCAAGACAGCAGCATATATTGACCCATTCCCATGTAACATGGGTTGGCAAGGTCAAGCAGTTAACCTATTTATTCTTGAGTTAATTCTGGGTTGTTTAATCCTTAAATAACCCAAAATATCGAAGTTCAGACATCATGTTGTGAGCCGCCCCGAGGCTTCGGCAAGGGGCGGCATAGAAATGTTTTAATAAAAAAATAAATAAATAAAATAAAATGTTCATAACCTATGAATGGAGTGATTGTAGGTTGTTTACAGAAAGCAGAAGTGGGGCAGCATGCTCATATACCTCTGCCAATTTGTAGGTAAAATATATGTTTAACATTTATTTTAATATTTATTTAATTCTTAAATTGGACTGTTCCCCTGACAAGCAGGGATTTCATGAATTTCTGTAGCTCCTCAACTGGTATAATTCAATATAGAATTGTGCCCTTAAGTTCCAATATGAAATCTTTTCTAAAATTTAGTTTTTGGAAATCTATTTCATATTGTATGATACGTAGAGACATAATTCCTCATCCTGTCAGCCTCTTGTCTGGCTTTTTATCATCCGTAGTGCACACCCATTTTCATTTCTAAAAATCTATACATTGCTGTACGTTAATCTTGGTTTTACCTTTTATTTCCTTTATTTGCTTTATTCCCTTTTTAATTTTTCTTTGATGTGGTAGTGCAAAATCAGGGTAAGTTGCTTTTAAATTAATTTATGCAAATTGTGGAAGTGTGATGTGTTTAGAACATGATAAATTAGTATTAATCAGTGATCAGAAGATCAACAATCAGGCTGGGATATATGGCATTAAATTCAGCGTCACTCTAGGAGACATTTGCTAGTTCAGTGAGTCTTTCTTCTTCCCAGAATCCACACAAAAATCTGTTATTTGAGGGTACCTAGGTGTGATTACTCCCCCTCCCCCCACTGTGTCACCTGCATGCTTCAAACTTGCCACTATTGAATACAATCTACAAAAGCAACAAAATTAATTAATTAAATGAAAACAGTACAAATAGCACCTTTTCTACCTTCTCATGCTTTGCCTCTGGTTTGGCTTCTTAACTCTGTCTATAAAGTCTGTTTAAATTTGTAACATGTTTGTGAAATTCATTTATTTTGTTGATACTGTAAATCTCAACCTGATTATTAGTCATTTGTTTTTGTTGTTGGGTTCAGTTGGTTTTGTTGTTGGGTTCAATTTCCTTTTGCTCATTTCATAAATATCAGAGGTTACATTGATAAAACAACAAACTATTTTCAGCAAAGTTCTTTCAGCAAAGTATCTTCATGAGTTGCACATGCATAAGCTTCCTATATAACATCATATTATAAATATTTCAAATGTGATTTTTGGTTCTTAAGTAACATAGTTAAGTTCCCTGGCATTATTTGCTTTTAATAACTATATTGCAGTATTATTTTTTAGAGGTTATATTAACACACTTTCATAAGATAAGTAAGATCTGCTTTTGTACATGAATTTTCAGTCTTCAGAGTCATTACAGTGGTGTTCTTCAATCCACTTACTGCCTCATTCCCTTTCAATTCCATGTTATTCCTTGACTGCCTCTAAGGCAGAAGTTTCATGGGACTGCTCGGCGTGAGACAGAAGCTCCAGAGCATGAGGATTTCCTATCCTATGCTCTTCTAAGCTGTAGGAAGGAGAAAGGAGCAGTGAGGAAGAAAATTCTTCTTTCTGTTCTTTCTCACAAACAAATCAGCTACTCGTAGATAGGCCTCTGAATATTTTTAACCTTTGAAAATAGTTTCCATGATTTTTTTCTCCTGTAGTTGTGAGGGGACAGGGCAAAAACTGTTACATCAGATTCCTGCCTCTTAGAACATAGGGCACATATTGTATGGAACCTGGGATGCTTTTGCAGTTCTCCTAGAATTGGTCTATAATTAGTATTTTGAAAATAGGAGCTTACGTTTAGTTCAGATTTTTTTTTTCCATTTTGGAGGCAATAACTGAAGAAACACATTTTCAAGCTCTCTCAGTGTATGTTCCCTGCTGAGTTTGTTTGACTTGACAAATGCTTGTAGGCAACAAGCCACCCTGACTGTCCATAGTTCATGCTAGTGTTTGTTGTACCTGCAGTGAGTTGTCATGTTGAACAAATATGGGTGACTGATCTCATCAGGCATACTGGGAAGCGGCTAACAAGCTGCTTAGCAAGAACAGCAAACTCCCAAATAGTACATTAGAGTGGCTAGTACTAGTTTGCCACCTTTACTTACCTTTTTTAAACCCAAGATTTTCACTGAATTGTTATTATTTTTTAAAAATTCAGTAGTTCAGAGTTGAACAAGTCTGCAATCTAACTCTTTCCTTCTTAGTGCCCTGTCAAAGTACAGAAGGCAGTATCTATGGCTATTGACAAAGCAAGCCTACAAATAAGTAAATGTGTTGCTTTGCCTCTCACTTGACAGTCATCCAGTGGTGAGCTGTCAAATTTGAAGGGAAGCTGTGAGGGAATCTTACAGTTCATAAAATGGGATGGCAAGTAGAGCACCTCCTTCATAGTGAGTTGCCCTCATCTTTTTGGTTTTGAGCAGACTGTTTTTATTGTCTACCAGCTTTTCCAAGACTTTATGGTACTTGAGAAATTTTAAACGCATCATTCTTTTAAAAATTGGGTTTTTGACATGTCATATTAGAATTTTTTGACAAGGACATTTTCAGTTTTGAAATCTGCATATTAATGTCTTTAAAGAAACATCAATATGTAAAACACTGTTTGGAAATATAATTTTTTAAATGCTATTAAGAATGAATACATTATTGTGTTTGTTTGTTTAATGAAGCAGGTTCTTTCAGTACCATATGAGTATAAGAAGCTGTAATGTCCAAAAATAATTGAACAACTTAACAGCATTTATGTGAACTTTCAATCCCATGGTAGAGCAATGGGAACCTTCCAGCCTGCAGACCAAATTCAGCATGCCACACCACCCTATCCAAACTGTAGAGGCCTTGGGCAAGGCTCCACCCTAAAGCCTCAGCTCCTCTTCCTCCTCCAGAGGAAGAATGCTTCTGATGTTTGAAAATTAAATAAATCAATAAATATGGGACAGAAGAGTAACTATGCCCAAAAGAGTGAATCAAGAGGGAAGCAGGAAATGAAACTGGTGTGGGACTCAACTTGAGTTCTTGAGAAGGTAGCAGAGTCTCTAGTCATTTCAGGCAGTGTGTTTGTTATAGCCCTTGTGATTCTTGTGACTTTTGCATGGTATTCAGAAAAGTTAAAAGAATGAGAAACTTGCTGGAGGACAGTTAGTGAAGCAAATAGGCTGAAGTAACACCAGTATATCTTGTATATTTTAGGCATGAACTGCTTGAGGAAGCCCGGCGGCAAGGTCTCCCCTTTGCTCAATGGGATGGGCCCACTGTAGTTGTCTGGTTAGAGGTAAGGAATCTACACAGTACTGGATTCAACATGATACTAGAGCAAGCCTGAAACTTGTAAATAATTTCCTTTCTGTATTTTTCTTTGCTAGTTATGGGTTGGGATGCCAGCCTGGTATGTAGCTGCTTGCCGTGCAAATGTGAAAAGTGGTGCTATAATGTCAGCCTTATCTGATACTGAAATACAGCGTGAAATTGGCATCAGCAATCCTCTACATAGGTTAAAGCTGAGACTTGCCATTCAGGAGATTATGTCACTAACAAGCCCATCTGCTCCTCCTACTTCAAGAACGGTAAGAGAGGTTGGAAAATGATTGTGTTGTGTTGTTTGATTGAGGAGAAACTAGCAAGTAACTAGAATTTATCTTGTGGCAATCGTCTGCATCAAGAAATCCCTGATATTCTAATAGAAAAAGTAATGAAGTTGAGGAAAGTAAGTAGAAATGACAAAGTGAAATGAGCTCTCTAAATAACTCTGTAACAAGTTATAGTAACATTTTGCTAAAAGTGAGTTACAATTTAAAGCTAGCATACAGTAAGTTTTAGACTCTGAGAATAATGTGTCACTTTCTCATCCAAGTAGTGTTAATATTTAAACAAGGTTTCACAATTCTGGCCAACATAATGAGTATAATATCCTTCTTTGGCAGGTCTCCAGCCTCCCAACTTTAGTGCTGGAGAAGTGAGCATGTGTAGTCCATAGAGCTGTGCAGGCATTCTAAGTGCAAAGTGCTTTGAAGCAAAGCACCAAAACAAACTTGAAGGCTCCTCTCCAGTTTAGAGTGTTTTGAAAGCAAAAGAGGGAATTTCCACTTCCAGATGTAAATCTGCATTGACATTGGCTGTGTATATGCAACTAGCTTCCTTGTTGGACTGCATGCAAAGTTTGGGACCCTCCCCCTCAGCTGAGGACCAAATTGCATTTTGGAAAAGCTCCTGGATCAGATTCCAGTGCTGGGTAGGGCCAGAGGCCAAACAGATGAGGCCAAAAATACAAAACCCTGAGCGTATTTTAGCTTAAGTCATTTACTGCCAGTAATTAAGACTTAGGAGAGGCATTTTGACCTTTTAGAATGGGAAAAAACTACACCAAAACCAGGAAACAATGAAATGACTGGGAGAAAGGGAGTGAGGAACACCAGAAAGTGCAGGGCTTGGCCCCTGTTTCTCTGATTGCCTGCCCTTGGATTAGGTAACAGTACCACTCATAAAAATTTGGCTGTGTTTGCAGAGTAGTTTGAAAGAAAGTATCCTCTGAAAAGGAATGAGCAAGTATCAGTGATGCAAAAATGTTAGGATCCAAGGCTCATGTTTCCACAGGACGAATTTTTCTACTTAGAATGTCCTATTATGTCCTATTATAAATAAATTTAAATCTAGTTATATTTTATTTGAAAAGTAATTTGGTCTCAGAAGCCAGATACTGAAGCCAGTTGGTTCACATATAATGCCCAGTCACAGTTTTGTTATGTGACTAAATCTTGTCTTGGCACAATCCACTTAATTTCTTCCTGATTTACAATAAACCATAATTCATTGGTGTTTCCACAGTAACCAGTTATGGTTTGCACTTACGTGCCAAACCAGGATAACAGGTTTCTAACTCTGGCTTGCAAACCATAGTTTTACTGTTAGGATGTGACAACCCACCATATGGTTTTCAACAACCCGGGAAGTGTATAGTTAGATGGGGTGTTCAAGTGGAGGAACTGACACCCTGGATACAATTGTATGCACTGTATAGAATCCAGGGGCAATGTTTTGTGCAGAAGAGATCCTGGGCTCTAGCCTGCAGGACAAAAAAAAAATACATTTGCATATGCTTATTTAGATATGCTCTAAAGTCTGTAATTTTTTAAAAGGAATTTGTGCTCTGTTGATACTGCTATATATATAAAGGGATGTATGGACAGTTGCGAGGAGAGCATTTGATTATAGTAAAAAAAATCCACAGGCAGAAAACCAGCTAATTCAGGAGAATCTAGTGCAACAGAGCCCCTGTATCTTTATTTGAGCAAGTGCCCATGGAGAGCAGGATGGTGAGAAAGATGGCCTGCCAGAGATGTAGGACTCCAAATGAAAGTTTTGGGTCTTCAGGCTTAGTGGGTCACCTATGAATACGGCCTCAAGTAGAAAAATAGATTGGAAGAGAACATCAACGATCTGCTTAGGACAGGAATCCATTTTAAAGCTTTTCTGACAGAAGGTGGTCCAGTGTGTGCTTGAATACTTCCAGCAAAAGAATACCCACCACCTTGCTAAACAGTTCCTGAACATCCATAATCTGATCAGAGGGATGGTTGAAATGTAAGGGGTTGAAATCAAGTGAAATATTCTCAAAGATTCTTATTTTGAGTCCCCATATTGCACACTATAAGCAATTGTTCTTATTTCAAACTTGATTAAATATCATATAGTTCTGTATGCTTTATTTTTAAAGACAAATACATTTGCTTGCAGGATTGCATCTTACATCAGTCTGTATTTAACAGTCTAGAAACCATTGCTTTTGCCCATGCCTGCTCCTTTTATGTACCTGTTGCTTATATATTCTGCAACCTTTCCTCTTTGTTACTGCTTTCCTTTCATTGGATGTAATATGGGGTCATATTAGACCACAGGAAATGTCTGGGTAACACATGAAGAAATGGAAAATCTTACATCTACACCACAAACGGTTAGTTGTAGCACTGAAGCCTGTTTCTTCAGTGCTTTTCCCACTTTTGAAGTGCTTGAATCATGTGCCTCATTAGTCTCTGCAAAGAGTAGAAATATTAATCTAAGTAACGCTTTCTTGGTTTTAACTGATTTTAATTACTAACCCTCTCTGAAAGCTATATATCATGCTGTAAATGTTTTTCCACCAAGGCTTAAGAGAAAGAGAGAGAGTGTGTGTGGGGGGGGGGGGGGGGGAGAGAGAGAGAGAATTTTGAAAGGGCAGAGATTAGGTATGTTTCATAGGCAAAACTAGCACACTGATTTCTGAACTGTATTAGAGAACATTACATAATCTTCTACTTGAAGGGTGCTTCTTGTGTGGAAAAATTAAACAGTATGTGGTGGATAATCTCCATGCAGGTACAAAAATATAAAGAAAGATGCATATATACACAATTTTGGATGCATGATGCTTTCATTCTTAAATGATTAGCATGTCATTGCTTCACCTTTGCAATATCGCTGTATCATTTAATGCACAGAAAGGACTATGTTCCATGTTCGGTGCCAAGTAACACATACTGAATATGCCACAATCCAAGCAACCATGACCCCTTTAATGAAGGACTTATCTAATTAAAACCTGAACACAGATTTGCACATTCCTTGAATTATGTGTCTTTCTATGCATGCTAGAATATGGTCATTTCTTTGAATTTGCTTGCATTACTAAACCTATAAATACTAATATTGGTGTGTTCTTTTGCTTTTCTAATAACATAACATCAGGAAGATGAGGAAGGAAGCTGGGCTCAGGTTGGAGACTTTTTAAACCTTCTGTATAAACAGCTATGATTTTTTTTTGTTAAAGTGTAAAACTGAATTTTATGTATGCATTTACACATTTGAGGGAAATTTAATTAGGGAAATCTTACTCTTTTCTAAAGTTGTCACTCAAATTTTGGAAATTTATTTGGTTTAGAAGTTATCATTTATGGTATCTAGTTGAGGCATGTTCTCTAGTAATTTGCCACAGGCATATGAAGATTCTTTTTTCACTATCATTATTACCATTACTGTCTTCCCTTGATGCTAGAGCAAATAGTCAAAAGACCTGCTGCAATATGGAGCTAAAAGCATCGTTCCCTGGATCTCAGTCAAAGTGTGGTCAGTGGTCTTGAGAACTTTAGACTGCAATAATATCCACACGTAACAGGAATAATTTCCACTGAACACAATATAACTTATTTCTGAATGGACATGCATTAAGATTGCACTGTAAATCAGCTTTATTTGTGCCGAACCTGTGTACCATAAAGGATATGGATTTTGTGTGAAATCAGCAAAAATCAGAAAAGCATAACAAAAAATTAAAAGACGTGCCTACTAATCCTGACTTCTTCTCCTGTTTCTGGCTAACACATTCTTATTCAAATATATGACTAAAATCCTTCTAAGTACAGCTGCTTCCTGCTTTATGGCAGCTGGTGAGCACCAGTAGTGCATTGGTGTCTGACATGTTAAACGTATGATGTACAGAAGGGGGATGCATGCCTCTATATGGGAAATTAATTCATACCAGGGAGCTGTAGCTCCCTGGCACAATCTTTTAAAATTTGGAGATATGCATCCCCCATTCACATGCACATGTTAACATGAACACTAGTTGCTATATAAAGTGTGAAGTGGATTTACATTTAAGACATTGTTTTGCCTGTTTAGTAGTTTGAAACTCTACCTAGTATGAACTTCGTGCATAGTCTATGGGTTGGGTCCAGCAAAAGCCACCTGCAGGCAGACAAAGTCCCTGCAGGAGGCTTTTGATCCAGCAGAGCTTTTTATTGATTTCAGTAGGGGAAGAGGTAATATTCCCCCACCCCCATTGTCCTGCAGATCCCCAAAACAACCAAAAATCTGCTCCAGGGGGTTGGAGAGCCTTCTGGAACAGTGGGAGTGGTGGCACCTGGGCTGCAAACAAGGAAAATAACTTCTTCCAGTATTCTGCCAGCATGAGGAGTCTGAATAGAACTCTGCTCAGGTGTGCTCCCACTAGCAGAATAAACACTGTTTCAAACCCCAAATTTATCTTTAAAAGCTCCTTGTTTTAAATTGCATTCTTTTTCTCTATCTAGACTTTAGCCTATGGTGATATGAACCATGAGTGGATTGGCAATGAATGGCTTCCCAGTTTGGGGCTGCCTCAGTATCGCAGTTACTTTATGGAATGTCTTGTTGATGCTAGAATGCTGGACCACTTAACTAAAAAGGATCTTCGTGGTCAACTTAAAATGGTTGACAGCTTTCACAGGTAAATATATTTTATATGTTCATTAATAACAAACATTTCCATTGCCTTCCTAATGCCCTGCACTCTTGTTAAACTATTTTGCAGAAATAGCTTTCAGTGTGGGATTATGTGTCTGCGAAGATTAAATTATGACCGAAAAGAACTTGAAAGAAAAAGAGAAGAAAGTCTAAATGAGATTAAAGGTAGCTATTTGCTTTCCTAGGTTTGATTCTACACCCTAATAGTAGAATCTACATCCTAACATAATCCTCTACTAAGGTGGATAGCATAGTTGTATCTCAGCCCCAAATAATATCTCAACTGCAATCCAATGGACTGTGAACATTGTTATACGTGAGCACCAGGGATTTTCTTCTCCTTGGAACATCCCTACTTGCACCTAATGTTGAAGGGACTGTATGGAAAAATATTGAGTACAGTCAGGTGCTACAGCCAGAAAGGGAAATCAACCCACAAGGATGCTCTTTAGCTTCTGGCCTTGAGCTCTAAGTACTGTGTTCTCTATCATGCTTGTGTCTGTATGTTTAGTGCACTAACCCACAGGCCTTAAAAAGCTTACTCTGTGGAACACTTATAATAGTAATAGTATGGCTGATAAAATACTATAAGCATTTATCAATTATGAATGTTCTTGCCTTTTTACACAGTACTTAAACATACTAAGAATTGTTTTAGAAAGCTTTGTAGTACAAATAGATTTTTAAAATAGGCAATCTCTAAATGCTGGAATAGCATTTTCTAGTCACTGTTTTGTAGCCTCACTCGTTTAGTTGATTTAATCCCTGAGATTTTCCCAGTCCCAACTGTATTTGGTGCAATAAAACACAAACCATGGGCAATACTAAAATTAATAGAGAGAACCATGTATCAATACAGAGTCTTCATGCTTGTTATCATTATTTCTGAACAATAATAATTGTCCAGTACTTGGTATTGGAACTGCAACCCAAAGAAACGGTGGATTGGATCCAGACTCCCCAAGTGGATCATTGTAGGCATCTCCTACTAGGGGAAGAGGGGAGGTGATTTTCCCCTGATTCCTCATCATCTTGCAGTCTCTGTAAGAAAAGCTACTCTGGAGAGTCTGGAAATTGTCTGAAACCATGTGGCATTGCAAACTGCAACGAAAAGGGGAAATTGGTGAAAATTATCTTTTCCTAATGGTAGTCTCCATTGAATCTGTGTCCCTTCTGTGAATGGAATGGTAAATCTGGATTAAATCCCATGGTTTCTGCTATTATCTACTTCTATTCTGCTATTATTAATAAACTGTTTTGTGATTTAAACATTTACTTTCCAATTTATAGATGTCCTTGTCTGGAGCAATGACAGAATGATTCACTGGGTGGTGTCAATTGGTCTTAAAGAATATGCAAATAACCTCATAGAAACTGGAGTTCATGGCGCACTTGTGGCCTTAGATGAAACTTTTGATCACAATGCATTAGCGCTTTCCTTACAGATACCCACTCAAAATACACAGGTAATAATGATAAAAGCATTTGTGGAATACTCTAATATGCATATGTACTATAATGTTTAATATTGAGGCAGTGAATAGGCATTTATAGATTGGACCCATCTTAAAACTAAATATATTCATTTGGTTTCAAGTTGCTTAGATACATTAGCAAAATTTTCTCATTTACCAAGATACAGCATTTCTGGAATACCAATTAGGACTGATCCCTCCCTTATTTATTCATTAGATTTTTTGCCCACCCCATTAGCCATGAGCTCCTTAAAATTTATATTGAAAATGTATACATTTTGTCTGAGTATTATCCAAAGAAGATTCCTAAATGCTGTTTTTAGTTTGGCACAGTGAATACCATGCAAATTTACAAAAATGGCAGTATGCAATATTTAATAGGGGTTTGGGCATTCAGAAATTAAAGCAGTCCAGTGGTAATAATGCTGCATTGTTGCCACTTTGCCTGTACCTGTGTGACTATTCTTAAAATCATATTTTATAAATCTGCATTCTCAAAATGGATGACAAATACCAGCAATTTTTTGAATTGTGTTTATGATTCATTTTTAATTTAGGCTCGTGCTGTGTTGGAGAGGGAATTCAATAACCTTCTTGTGATGGGCACAGACAGGAGGTTTGATGAAGTGAGTTTCCCAGGATTTTGGTTTTACTGTCTTACCTAATGTTATGATTTGTATAGACACTACCATAAATTAATAGTATCCTGCAACAAAACTTGAGCTGTGGTTGCAGAAGATTTTTAACTGGGACTGATTTAGAAGACACTTTCTTACCCACTCACTGCTGAAAGATACAGTAATGGATTTCCCAGATAACTGAGTGGCTCACCTTTTTTCTCTGCTATCAGAGCATCTAGGATTAACAATTTCTTCCTTGGGCAGACATATCTGGCTCAATAAGATCAAAGATATTCCCACTGTTATCTATTTCTTTATCTGGAACTTTGGGAAAGGAATGTGGTTTAATAGTTTCTTCACTATTGTATGTACAGTATGTATATCTCACCAAGAATCATTTCATTTTTTCCTTTATGTGCATTGGGTATGATTCACGTTAACATAGGCATACCTATTTTTACTTGTTTATGACAAGTGCTTCTGAGGAGGACTCCTAGCAAACTTCAGCAAACTCTCTGCTCCATAGCTTCTACAAACTGTACTTGGATTTCATGGCTTTCTTAGGCTTATCTTAAATTCTATTGGGTACAAAACAAATAGCAGGAAATACTCTGGATTTGGATTTATGTAATGGACCAGTGGAAATAATCGAAGGGGATCCAGTGATAACTGCATTATCAAGTGCAGATCATAACCTGATCAAGTTTGATCTTCAGTCTACCTGAATGTTTTTCAACACTGAGGGACCAGTTTTGATGATCTACTCTTATAGCTTGATGAGTCTGTAAGGCTTTCTGATATCTCTGGATGGTGTAGTTGGCAATCTTGCTGAGGCCCCAGTCTCAACTTGAATTGTGGAAGTAACTCAGGCCATCAGTATGATCATTTCCAAATGTCTGTAATCAAATCATAGGACCATACTGCCTTTCTGGGATTCTGGAAAGTGATAAAACATCATGTGGACAACCTGAATTCTTTTAGTAAAAGCTCATAATGAATATGAACAAACAAGTAAATACCCATATTCAGGCTTATTCTGTAGTTCTGCTGGAAAGAAATTTTACTATCCAAATATTTTATTTTTTACATATTCCAAACTTTTACTATCCTCCACTATTTAAATAGCTTGGTTCAGCAGTACTATTTCACATGCTGAAGGGCATATTGAATCAAGGTAATCAAGTGGTAGAGCCTTTGAAGGCTACCAAGTTACATTTTATTTATGAAATTTCTCATATCCATACCTACTTGTATGTTATGATTTATGGAGTCAGATTCAACTAGGACATTGTGTGGTCCTGTTACAGATTTTTTCATTTTATCCAGATTGAGGATATGGATAAACTACTTGCCATATTCCCTGGACCCTTACTCATCCTGACTGCTGTTTCTCTGAGACAGAAGTAGTTACTTCCACTCTTAAGGGGAAAGCAGTAGAAGGAACCCTAAAACCCCTGATATTAGTATCAACAAAAAGTCTTGATTCTAACATCAGGCATAACTGTTGCCCAATGTCTTCCCTTTTGGATCAGTGTTAGAGCAGATGGTGGTCTTTCAAATCAAGGTAGATTTATGGGGAATAGATTATTTGGCTCCATTTTAATCCTGTTTCAGACCTGGTTTTGGGATGCAAATAACCTGCACTGGTGAAGGACATAGTCTGTGGAACATATGTGAGGAATGCAGGTCTATTAGTTCTCCCAGACTTTTCAGTGGTTGTTGATCCATTGCCTATCCTAGCCTTCTGGTGCAGTTGTCTTGGTATTGTTAGAAAGCATGGTATTAGGATGACACTAGTCACTGGGGGGTGTTCTCAGTGCAGTTTTCCTTCTAACAGATGCTTTCCATCTTTGGAACTAGGAGGAAGTATTCTTTCTCCCTGCTCCAGCCTTTTCAAAATCTGTTCTGCACGTTTGCAGGGCCCTCCTGAGTAGATTTTGAGAAGATGCCTTGAGCTGCAATAGGAATAGCCCCCTCCAGATTCCACAGGAGGAAGCAGTTCTGTCAGTGGAAAAACTTCAGGGATTTCACCCAGTGGCTTTGAAAATGAAGGGTTACTGCTTAGCAGGCTCCTCCTCAATCCATTGTCCAGCAGCATGCAAAATGCATGGTTCAGAAACACCTATGGTTAATTATGAGGTTCTGAGCTGCCTTGAATATTATGGTTGTGTTGTATAATGATAATATCCTAAAGGAGTATTACTTTTTTATCATGTTGAACTAATGTGATGCTTGCTTTTACAGGATGATGATAAAAGCTTTAGGAGAGCACCTTCATGGAGGAAGAAGTTTAGACCAAAGGACATAAGAGGTTTAGCTGCTGGATCAGCAGAGACGCTCCCTGCAAATTTCAGAGTTACCACCTCAATGTCTTCACCTTCTATGCAGCCAAAGAAGATGCAAATTGATGGTAAAATATTGTTTAATTATTTAAGCATGATTATTATGCCTGAAGTTGTAAGAGTAATAAATAGCTGAAGCATCTGCTCTCTTTGTGAACTGAAGAAAGAACTTAATTGGTGCATGACTTTTATTTCTGAGTAAATGATGGCATTACTTACATTTTCTGTTTCTGTGGTATTAACAACTGCCTTTCTGTCAGTTCTAATTAAAAAAAACATTCAGGTTGTCTTCGAATGACCATTCCAAAATCTTTTTAAATATTTGGAAATAGAACACATGAAACAACCTTCCATGCAATTCACAAATTGTTGCTGTATATATTCTAATTTCAACTGACCCCCTATGGGAAACTCCTCCACTTCAGAATTAATAGAGGCATCCAGGAACAGTAATTGGTAGATTTTGTCCATTGTCTTTGCTCTGTGAAGCTTTAATTACCTCATACAATAACCAGAATTATATATCACCTTCATGTCTTCCTTTCAGTTACTTTCCCCCTCTCAATCTTTGTGCTTGATTATTTGCCCTCAAGCACTCATTTATCTTACCCTTTCTTTAAAAGTTAATCTCCATTCTACCTCCCAGCTGTGATCATATCTTCCTCCTCCTTTCCTGAACTCACTGAATATTTGTTTTATACCTTTTGGTTTCACTGTGTGATCCCCTGTATTGTCTTGACGACTGCAATAATGCTTCATAAATTCCACTTCAATTCTTACCATAGTTAGCTGCAGTCTCCTAACCTAATGCAGAAGATTCTTCTCATTCCTTGTGACCAGTTGATATAATAGGCATATTCTACCCAATAGACTAACAGGTTCTTACATCAGTTCTTCTAAATATTAATCATTCTGTTCCCAGAGGGCAGCCTGAAGGTATTAAATGGTTTGATGGATAATCAGCCAGTCCAAACACCATGCAAAAGGATGCAGACAATATTTTCTTAAATGCCTGTCAGGTGCTATAGAACAGTGGGCAGGGTAAGGAACAGAGTTCAGTTTTACAGTGTGACTTGTGTTTGGAACTCTTCCTAGTAATAAGTCCCAGGATTCGCAGTCCCAGGATTCCCAGGTCCTGGCAAGCTCCTGTTCTGTAGCAGCACCAGCACTAATTTCAACTGACCCCCTATGGGAAACTCCTCCACTCCACTTCAGAATTAATAGAGGCATTCAGGAACAGTAATTGGTAGATTTTGTCCATTGTCATTGCTCTGTGAAACTTTAATTGCCTCATCCAGTAACCAGTGGTGACTGGTTTAGATTTGGACAGGCTGGATGGGGAGAAAATCTCAGTTTCAGATATGGTGAAAATTAAGTTTTGCAAGTAATTTGCAACTTACCCATAAACTAGGTGAATTGACAGGCATGAGGTTGTATCCAGTGGTCTATATCCACCAACAGTGGATATACTGCTTCACCCTTTTTAACCCTTCTTCAGCCTTCCCACGTGCCCCAAATCTCTACCAGCTGGATGTAGTCCTTGGCCTATAGGAGAAATGGATACACTATTGATGGATTTTATTCTATTTTTGAATTGCAACCTTTATTATAAATTTGTATCAGAAGTATAGTTGATAAAGATTTTTCTATATGTAAATTACATATTTTTAATTTCTTTATATATTTTATTATTTCATTATGTATTTTTATTTCATTATATACAGGGTGCCATCTCTAGTTCCTTAGAACACTGCAATGTCTATTAATCCTCCTTCACATCCCTGATTTTGCTTAGGTTTTGCTTCTTTGTCAGAAATATAAGAAGCAACTGGTTTAGTATGAGTCACACAGCACAGTGGTAGGAGGCACCTGTCCTCAAATACCACAGAGGGAGATGCTGCCATATGAATTGTGAGCTGGTTTGTGGACTATATCACTAGTAGGATGCAGGTGCATGGCCTCAGCTCTCCACTGAATGCCATTCTAGAGATGAAGCTGCTTCTTAACTCAAGAAACTGCCTTGTACCAAATCAGACTGTTGCTCAGTACTGTGTGCAGTGACTGACAGCAGCTTACATTGAAACTAGAAGAAGTGAATATGTATCAAGTTACTTTACATCTTGTGTAGCTAACCTTTTGTAACTTTTATGGTGTTACTGTGACTGCTTTGATATGATAAGGCTAACTGCATGCTGTATTCTGCATGTCTTCCTGATTGTTGAAATAGGCAATGTATCAGCAACACAAAGATTGGATTCTGCTACAGTAAGGACTTATTCATGTTAAAGCCTTTCATTGGTAAGTATGAGTGACTGATTCTTACAGTTACAACCTACAAAGATAGGAAAATATTCTTGATAGCCCAAAAGACCTCATAGTGGCTGCTGAAGACTGCAGCTGAGATTCAGATGATTCTCTCCAGAACCACAAACTGCTCTCCAGCCATGTGAATTTTGAAAGAGGTTTCGATATTATACAGAGTAGCTGCCAAGAAGAAATGGGTGAAAAGTATTTCATATGTACCCACAGTAATTCCCTTTCAAACAGTTCTCATGCCTAGTCTCCAAACTTCTTAACTCAGCAGTTCAAATATAAATTTGGGTTCTGTGGGCTACCTTCACAAAGACCCCTGTGGTAGGAATTCTCTCACCCCTTCTGGATTCTACCCAAAATAAGATGCCTCACCCCAAGAAAATGTAACAATTGGGAGTAGTGTAGAACAGTTGTTTTCAACTGCCAGTTCTGCTGGAAATTTCCTGGTGGTCCTTGGGGAGGCCTCATCCCACTCGCCACAGACTGGTGCAGGAGCTGGCTGTGCTCCTCCACCTCTTCCTCAGTTGGCACCGTGTTTGTGGGGGTGCACCAGTGCTCCCTGGGTTGCCAGGGAGGGGAGAGACTACTTTTTATTTCTGCCTCAGTGGTCCCCAAGGTGGTTTTCCTGTTTTTGCCAGTCCCCAGCTATGGAAAAGTTGAAAACCACTTGTGTGGAATGGGGAGCATGCTACTCATGGCTGCTGAAGTTATTCTAAAATTAAGACAAGTGTCCTATTTGGAAGAACAGATTAGTGAAGAAAGAGCAACCAATTGGATGATTTATTTGCTCTTCTTTAGTTAGCAGAATGAGATAGTAAATGAAATAATAAAATGTACCAAGTAGAAGTGTAGTCTATATGCTATGCATAATTTATTGGCTCTTGTCTGTAACAAATAAAACATCTTTCCAAATTACCTTGAGGTTGGGGCATAGATGAGCCTTCATGCTTTAATCAGGAAAAACATTAAAATGCACAAATTCCAAGTGTATTTACTTTATTAATTATAACATATTTGTCTCTTTGGTAGTGGAGAACCATTCTACATTGCATAATATATAACTTATGCATCCAGGCACACTCAACAAAGCTTAAAGGGTGCCATGGAAGCAACCCGTGGTGGTTTTTACCATTCCTCCTCATCCCCTTCAGCCCTCAGAACAGTGTGGGGGGCAGTGCTGAGAGCTACAGGGGGAAGGGAGAGACCACTGTCTGACCCCCTTTCTCCAGTGGGAAGCCTCCACCGACTCTCAGTTTCCTCTAAAAACTGAAGGACCCTCTGTTCTCAGAAAGACGAGTCTGGATCAAACGTGTGTGTACCTAAAATGCAACGAACACATATTTTTATTCTGCCTAATTTATTTGGCTGTTGCTATTTGAGTTAATGAACAAAAAGCTGTTTTGGCTAGTGTTCATAAGCCTTAAGGATTGGAATCTTGCTTTGAGGAAAAGAAAGACCATTTTAGGCAGTTCAACCTCTATAAGTAGCATGTTTTCATAAATATGTCCCTATATTATTTGTATATTTGAGAGGATATATATACCACTTTATTTATAGGGCACATAGGACATTCTTGATTTACAGTGTATGTTTTAACATAAAGACTGGTTCATATTCATACCCAGTGCTATATGTAGCTGGTAAGTGCTGTCAGATTTCCCCAAAGCATATCCCAATTGTCACAATATATATATTGTATTCAAGATAACATTTAATCTTCTAGTGTATTAAATTTGCTGTTCCTTCAAAAGACATCTATATGGAGGGACTCCAGAAAGAACTGTGCATTTGAAACAGTTGCATGGGCGGGTGCAGGGGGACAAGAGGGCCTGTCAGTGCTTTGAGGCCTCTGAATTAAATCTTGCATAGTACCGATAAACTATTGTAAATCTGGCTGTTCCCTCCCATTCATTTGCATAATATCCATTTGACATTATGAGAAACTTTTACTGCCTGCCTTCATTCCTACTGTACGAATGAGTACAGCAGTATGCAGTTGCCTGTTTGCTGCATTTGCGGTTCACTGGATTACCAAACTGTGTATAAGGCTTCCTAGATTATTCTTCTGAAAACTAATAGAATTTTATTTTATTTTCAGTTTATCCCCACTATTTCTACAGATGATCTGAAACATTTTGAATTCAAAGACCATATTTTGGAAACAACAGAAATCTTTAATCTGTTAATACTTGTTAAATCAACACTTTGAAATATTTTATTACAGAGTTTTTAATTAGCAGATGAATTTGTGAGTACTATAGAGAAAGTATTTTAGAATTAAATGTTCTTATATTTATGTAAGTGTATGTGGGTCCTCATTACTTAACTTTCTGTAAGCATTCTCTGAATCAAATTCTTGCTGATTTGTTAATTTTAGTTTTTCATCTGAATGTACTGTAATACTTGTATGTTTCCATCCCTATAAGCAATATAGGGTTTTTGTAAATTATGCAGTTATTGTAATTATCAGTAATGGTTTTTAATAAAGTGAAGGTGAAAAGGATTTTGCTATCTTTGTAAAGGTATCATGACACCAAGCAGTATATATATATTGCCATTTGGAAAATGCTAGCTCTAAAATTTAAATAAATCCCATTGTTTCAGTGAAGCATATGTTTATTAATAAAGCAGGCATGGTACCTGATTCTATTTCCGTTCATATCTGTACCTTTTCCACATAGCATATGATTTTAGTGTGGATTTATTTATGTCTTTTGTTCAATATAACTTGTGTTACATTCTAAAATGTGGGAATTATTAAGACACTATGAAATATGTGGGCCTGGTGAGGTCATTTATAACTATTTTTTTGTGGCTGTATTTGTACAGTCTGTGTTCATTGACTGAGAATAAGCCATAAGTGGAAATATTTTTTGTTAACCAGGAATAGCTCCTAATACTACTCAGCAGGCAACAAAGAGTGTTCTTCTTCTGTATTTTGATGTGAAACTGTTTGCAAAGAGATACTGATGCAATTCCTTTAAGTGGACCAATCAAGATGCACTGCACTCTCATGGCATAGATGCTGATGGCACAATAAGCTGAAGCATGTAGTAGTGCAACTATTAAAAAGGCCTTACTTTTCTTATTCATCTTTTGCATATATTTATAAACATATTTTAAATCCTGGGCAAACTGTTTTAGCCATTTCAAACAATATAAGTACAAAATGCATCATTCATTTGTTAAAAGCATAATAAGAAGCCAGCAAAGAAAACATTCAGATTGTGGTGCATTATTTATTATGCAATAATATGTAGAGCATGTCTTTTTCTGTTTTTAGTTTTGGTTCTTTTTAATTGTACAACTGAAATTCATTCTGTTTTTTCTATTAACCTTGTATGTATACTTCTGATTACGTAACAAATTATGTACAGTCTAAGTACTTTGAACTATTTTTATCACAGTATTATTTATTGCTTTCTTTCAATAAAGTACTGAAGCATTTTTTCCACTGCCAATAAAATTCTATTATCTTGTGATGGGTTTTGAAGTGTTTTTAAGGTGAGATTTCAGCCATCAATGCAAATGAGATTTCTTGTGAAGTGTCCTTTCATGCTCTCCTTTGTCTGATCCAGAAATAGGCAACTTTTTTTGCCCACAAGGACTGCTTGCAGCAATGAGCTCAAGGATCATATGTTAGTATCGTGAAGGTGTCAGTGGGCATGGTTGGCACCCTTTTGCCCATGCTTTCTTACACATATGTGTAACATACACACACTTCCTCCTCCCAAACCAGAGTACCAGTAAAAACATTTTTCTCAATATTCTTTCTTTGTTCAGCCTCCTTTCCTTACCTGAGAACTTATATGTCATCAAGTTGTCTCCAACTTAGAGATCCTGTGAAATAATGCTCTCCAAATTATCCTGTCCTTGAATGCTTGGCTCAGCTCTTGCAAACTAAGGACTTTGGCAATTAACCCTCACTGCCCCAAGACCCTCACTGCCCCAAGAGAGGTCCACCTGGCGCTGTCGTTATTTGTTTTTCGGCGCCAGGCGAAGACCTTTTTATTCAAGCGGCATTTTAACTGTTAACATTATTGGTTTTATCTGGCCAGGGCGGCTTATTTTATACTGTACTGCTGCATTTTAATTTTATATTTATATTTTAATTTATATTATAATTATTTTAATTTACTGATGTGAGCCGCCCCGAGGCTTCGGCGAATGGGGCGGCATAAAAAAGTTTTAATAAATAAATAAATAAAAATAAAGACATTCTGCTGTGAGGCAGAGCAGCAATTGGCACCTCCCACTCCCCAGTCAAAGTGTACAGCAGGGGCCTCAAACTCGCGGCCCGCGGGCCAATTGCCGGGACGGGCGGGACACGGGAGAGGGCCCTGTGGCCTTCAAAGCGCCGGCGGCACCCGGGCCGGCCATGGGATGAGCGGCCCACCACCACCGCGGTGGTGGAATACTTGATGCAGCCCAGCCTCACCCAGACTCTACTTCCAGCGGCCCCCAGGTAAGTTGAGTTTGAGACCCCTGGTGTACAGTAATACTCAAAACCAGTCATGTTGCTTTGGTCCCTAAGGTCCAAATATCCTCAGGCTTCTATCCCCCTCCCTGGCAGTAAAAATACAATAAAATAAACCAACAATTTGCTGCCTTTTCAAGAAGTCCCACATCAGGTGCCTCAAATTCTAAATTCTCTGGGGCTGTTCACACATAATGTGAATGGTTCCTATGCTATTACCTTTCTTACCTTGTGTCCTTTATTCACATGTTTGAGAGGTAACTAGTTTCCACATGCTTTTATCTTCCCTTCAAATGGCAGCACACATTGCATCCCCCTCCTGCAAATAGAAACCAGTCCAAGTATGCATTGCTTCTGCCTACATCACCATCCTCTCTCCCATTGGCACACACACCTGGGCATATTCTCAGCTGGCCAATGCTTCATCTCCCTCTACCTCCACAGATACCCCCGTTAAGGTCGAATGCTTTCACACACCATATGAACTGTAAGCACCCAATGCACCTGCTTTTCTCTTGTCCAGGACTTGCTGCCTGCAGTGGCCCAGGGCACAACAGCAACTGCCCAGTAGCAATGCCAGGCAAATCTCTGCAGAGGCAACCACATTCCAAGAAAACCAGGTGGCAGCTTTGGGCATTGGACTGAATGGAATTAATGAGCAGAGAAAGGGGGCAGTTTTCCTTTCAGGTTAAATGGCTGTTGTTTTCATGCAACACACCCTATTAGTCTGCTAAGGGTGTGAATCCTGAGGTCTCCTACTAACTTGAAGCCTAGCAACTTCAAGTTCAGAGGTAAGAAGCTGGTTATATTTAGATAATGGCAGCTGGGGCAACTTTTAAGATCCAGGGCACTGCTCAGATCCAAGGGCCCAGAGCTCTGAACTTGTCAATCACACCAACAACCCACCTTCACTGAGTTCACATGCAAAAAGAAGCCATAGCAGCAAAGGCTTGGATTGTCAACCTGGCACCCATCCACCCACCTAATAAGCTATGGTGGACTGCAATGCTCACACAAATCAGGTCTTGGTCCATATCACAATTTCAAATGTGTTCCATGATTGAAAAAAGATTTGGATCCTATAATATAATTTTCCCTGGCCTCTCTCACCTATATGGGCCCATTATCCTCTGGAGGAGAATGGCTGCTGTCATTCTAGATCTCATCCAAGGTTAAAGCCCAGCTTGGTGGTTAATATATCAACAAATTCCCTAAACTATGTTTCTGACTCCACCTAAATCAAGTGACTGAGTGGACCGGTGTCCTGATGAGGTTTAAGGATTCCATATAAATAAAATCTGATGTTCTTTGTGGTACATGAAAATGGAAAGGCCTAATGTTTCTAGTAACTATAGAAACTGTAGGTTAGATGTACTTTTCTTATGTTGATTATTAATAGGAATCAACCTAGGTGTGCATCCAGTTTCACAGCAGTACAGGTATAAATATAGGACTGAATCCAACAGTGTCCTTCCACTAGTGCAGGGGTCGGCAACCTGTGGCTCCAGAGCCGCACGTGGCTCTTGAACCCCTCTGCTGCGGCTCCGTCGCTCAAAACACTCCACTCAGGAACGCTGCACTGCGCTAGCTAGTTAAATCAGCTAGTTAAGTAAATCACTACATTCTTCTGCTAAACAAGCTTCCTGCAGGTTGTCATGTTACACGAACCCACTGCTGAAAGGATTCTCTTTGTCCCAATGTAATCTCCTTCATCTGAATGTTAAAAGCTGTGCTTGGGACCTGTCACAATTCACAGCCCCCACCCCACCCCCCGGGTAGGCCAACCATGGATAAATTGAAGAAAAGTTTCTGAAGAAAACCAAACATTTAATGGTACATGGGTAGATTCATTTGCTTTTACTGCTGACGAACTTATGGGGTTTGCTGTTTAATACATGCAGCCCTTTAGCACTGACTTTGACTCTTCAGGAAGCTGTTCTCCTATTCAAAATATATGAAAGGAGTCCTACTAGTTTATAATGTAAGATTAAAATAACAGTTTTTAATGACTGAACAAGAGCTGCAGCTAAATCATAATGAAGACAGACATAGCATTAAGGTAAAAAACAATATATGCAGTGTTATCTTCATTTTAGATGTCAAAAGGGGTTTGCGGCTCCCAGTGTTTTGTGTGGGAAACGGGTCCAAATGGCTCTTTGAGTGTTAAAGGTTGCTGACCCCTGCACTAGTGAAACAGATGCCACTGGTGTATTGTATTTCATGCATCATGCTTTTAACCTCCCCCTGCCCCGCATTACCTCCAAATTTGTGTGACAGACTAGGAAAGTTGAGAAAACAAGTAAATGGCAAACAGAAAGCTTTTGTTGCTTCAAATATTCTGAACAATTTATTCAGACAGCGCTACCTGATATTGCAGGATACTTGGCCAGTTTCTTCTCCACCTTGAATATTAAACATGGTCCCAGGAGAGAACCTGAATGGAAGACGATAACTTCAAAAAGTTAGTCCTTGGCTAAGAGACAGGTGGCCAAGGAATCTTGCAGGCTTGAGCCAGAAAAGAAGTATAATTATTTGAGCAGAAATAGTTTGTCACAAAGAGGAAGCATAGACTTGCTGAAGACATGTCTCCTCTGAGACTGTTTGGTCTCACAAGCTGTAGAAAAACTGCCCCAGTCCTTCAGTGTCTTACATATTGGAACAGGGGAATCCCAAAACTAATGTGAGAGGCACATGGGGAAATGTGTACCATGCAGGAATTTTTGTGGCTACAACTTTCCACACTTCTGGTTTCATTATAAGACTAGGAACCAAGTCTTATAATGACAAATGGGAAAGTACAGCAGTAAAAAGGGGGAAGTTAGGGAAATAGGAAGTTAGGGAGGCTAGTTAGTTCTGCTGTAGGGGTGGTGAGTGGGAAAGACCCAACAGGGTTTAGTAGGTCACAAGCCAAAGTGATATGCGTACAGAGGAAAAGTCCTGCTTAGAAGCTGTACAGTTAATGGGAAGCTGTACACAAAATGCATAGTGGCATTAAAGTCACTTCAGCTGGTCCTAAACCTGTGTTGAGAAATAGGGACTATGAGTGTTCCTAGAAATATGGCTTCTAGTGCTTGCAATCAAAAGACACTGGGGCTTTTCCATCTTTGCCTTACGGGTACAATCATATGCAAGTTGGGATAGAAAAATGCCCGGACTGGGTAAACATTGTAGGACTTTTCTTCTGTCTAGACCTGTATAGAAGGATTTTTAATGGAAAGATAAAATATGGAAGAAACAAGTGGAGTTATATATGGAAGGTGACATTTGGGTTCTTCGTCGTGGCCTCTGTGCATCACACATATGGGTTCTGCGCCTGCGCAGTGCCTTTGGCTGGAAGATTAACAGCTAACAGTTTTTGGCGGGAACTCTGCTCCCTCTCCCCCCTAGCATTATATAAGGAGCGGAGTGTCCGCCATTTTCCAGTCTTTGCGACCGCCGTTCGTTGTGCCTCGTGCCGCTTCGCTCTCACTAAGATTATTACTTACCTTCTTGCTCGTTTGAAAATCTCTCCTTTTCCCTACCAAGTTTGTATCCCTTGTTCTTGTTGTTAGTAATTCACTTATATTTCTTCTTAACTTTGCACCATTTTTTCCTCTTCATCGTTCCTATTAAAAAAAAAAAAACCAAAAATATTACTTTCCCGCTTTACTATCTCCTTTTTTCTTCTTTCTACGATGGCGCAATGGGCGGCGTTCCGCAAGTGTGGAAAATGCGGCTCCAAAATGCCCACTGCGGACCCGCATGATCTGTGCCTCCTTTGTTTGGGGGAAGGGCACAGAACCGATAAGTGCGGCCATTGTTTGGCCTTCTCTAAACAGGCGAGGAAGAACAGGGAGAACCGCCTCCGCAAACTCTTATGGGACCAGGCTCTCCTCCAATCGGACCGGCTGGTGGCTAAGCCATCCACTGTTGTGGCCCCACCCAAAGGCCGTCCAACTTCGGCTGACCTGCCGCAATGCCCAGCCTCTTCCTCCATTGCTCCGCCCTCACGCCCTTCTGAAGAAG